CTGTATACAATTTAAAAAGGTAGCTATTTTTGAATGAATTTGTGTAGTATGCATAATAATAAGATGTAAAAAAAAGACTAGATATTTCATTAGTTTTGCTTTAGGGTTGACTCTAGAATTTTAGAGTCAGATGCATTCATGTGTAAAGTTTCAATTATTAGACATTAAATTTGCATCAGAAAACAATCTGTGAAAATACAGATATACTGTATATGTGCAAGCGAATCCTAATTTTAAAAAGTAGTTAATTGTGTACACAGTAAGTCAAATATTCTTAATTTTTTAAAGCCCACACTAATTTTTCAGGTGCAAACTCTGGAAACTTGTAGAGCTTTTAGTGTAGCATGTTTAACTGTCTTTAATGTTGATTTTGTAACTTGAGGATACTGATTTTTGAGAAATTCAAGCTGATTCCTTAAAATTAAAGAGCTGGAAATTGTAGTGGAGGGAGGGGAACAGTTGTAACGTCAGGGCGTGTCAGATGCTTTATATTTCTCTAAACCTTACCCTTCAAATAAATAGTGATCTGTATGAGCTCAGGACTGGCTGAGAGCTCTGATGCCAGTGTTTATATGGGTTTCTTTTACTGTAATAAATACGTACCGTGAATGATTTGTAAAAAAGATACCTACTCCATCTTTTTAATGTTTGAAATTTGTCATTAGTGAACTTCCTAATTGTGAATCTTGAGGGTTTATGTCATCTATTTACAAAAAAGAATAGAATTGATTTTAGAATATGCTCAATAGGGAAGTAAACATAAATTCACATTCAGAATCTTCCACTGAAACTGTCATGCATTTTGCCCAGTTACACATTGGTTATTGGGCAGGTTTTTAAATTTTTTTCAGAGATAATGAGACAAGGAGAAAAATGATGATTACTTAGGTTATATGTACATGCTTGTTGCTTAATGTATCATTTTGCTTTAATGAAGAGGCATAAATCTATTGGAAGAACATAAATGACTCTGAGATGCTTTTTCAAATGTTCACACTGGAGCAATTAGAGAGGAGGTGCAGGGTCTTGGTGGGACTGTCAGCAGTTAACTTTTTGAGTCACAGTCTTTCAATGGGGTTTTTCTCTGTTATTCTGACCTCACTAGCAAAACTGAGTCAAAATTGATTCTTCCTAAATCTTCATCAAGAAATTAGATCACTTTCTTTTATATTCACATTCTTTATTTACTTAATTGTAATGGCAACCATTGGTGAGAATTTAATATTTTTCCCTAATTTCCAAATTCCTGCTGGTTTGGAAAGACAGTTAAAAAACAAAAGCTGGTTATGAAGTTACTGCCTCAAGACTGCGTGGTGCCTTCTGCCATCCATCCGCTACAGTGAATGGAAGGGAGTATTGAGGAGATGATAAATGAAGGGAGACAAGGGGAAAGCCAGGGGAAGTGTCATTCAGTCTGTGGCCACTTGTTTTTCTAGGTGAGGAGATTAGGCATAAAATGAAGAAATTTTTATCATGCTATCTCATCTTTCCTCTGTTATGCCCCAGATAATGAGGTGTTTGTTTTTTTTTTTTTCCTTTTTCCAGCCCTTATTCATTTTATTTCTTTTTGTTTGTTAAAAGAAGTAGATCTTTCAGCTGGTGCAGTGCCTTAGGGAGGTTGTCCTGTGACTTGCACAGTACATGTTGTGGGCTAGCTGGTAATTACTCCAAACGAAGAAAGCCCCTCAATGATGACTTGGTTCTTTGTGTTAATGGTCAATTGGTACTGTCATGGTGGGATAAGGGGGCAGGCTCTGATTCCATTATTTCTTTGTCCCTGTCCCTTTAATGTTTCCTTTAGAATTCCTTCATTAGTTTATCTCTTCCTTTACAATGTAAATTTATATTAACCTTGATAGAAACTTTGTATCTTGAGAAGGGGATATAGCTACATTAGAATATCTGGAGACTCTCATACTCTCCCCTGTACTGCATGTCTGACAGGTAGCAGTAACTCTTCACTAAATCTCGTTAGCAGAGGCTCAGTCAGTAGTGGCAGAAGTACCTAAGGCAGAAGAGAAGGCTGTGTCAGTGTTCTGCTTTGACTTCATTCGGGGGCACATTTAAGTAAATTAAAGTGGTCAGGTGGTAAGTCCCTTGATGAACTGAGTTTATGTTCTCTATTTGATACGAGTTCATGCTGATAGATTATGTTGGTGCATGCACATTTAGTACAAAATACCAATAGGGAATGGTTTTAGGCATTAGTAAATTATTTTGGGGCAAACATTTTCCCTAATTACTTTTCTTCCTGGAAGCTCATGACTTATGAGAAAAGTCATAAGGAAGCTGAAATAGGAGGCTCTGGGGTAATAGAGTGAGTATTTAAACTAGTAAAACCTACAATTGCTTTGTAATAAAAGCTTATCATCTTGTGAGAGTTGCTTAGTGAAATCAGATATTTCATGTGAAGTGTAGCATTTCCAAGTGTTTAGGGATTTTGCATTTTTTTGACTGGAAAATTATAGAGTATAAGCAAGATAGTCCAGTCACTCAAAATTTTCTCTTGTCTTTTACCAAGAGTGTGACAGCAGCCTCATTTTCTCATGGATGAGGTAGGGATTATAAAGCCCAGGTCAGAGAAGGTGTTTGGGATTGAGTGTGATGAACAGAAAGCATGGGATACGTAGTGAAGTCAGTGGAAGTTCCCTGTCTACTCCCTTTGTCCACCTTTCCTTTTAAACACACACATTATTGTGCTTCCTGTTTGGCTGTGGTAGTCATTACTGATCGCATCAGTACAAGTGGGTCAAGGAGTACATTTGGCTGACATTCCTTCTCACATCATGCCCAAGTGAACATTATTCTTTAACTCAGTGGTTGTTCTCTGCTGAATCCAACAGCCATGGCTGTTTCTACACTCACTGTAGTCTGAGCATTTGATCAGAAGTGTCAAGCATTAGACTAGACATTGTGTCACAGATGCACAGTGTGACCAAGCTTGTCACATGCCCTTTGAGGGTATTATTTTACGTCTTGAAGTATCACAGTTTGCTTTTTGAATATGGTTGTGCAAATGCTGCCAGATACTTGTTTGTTGTCATAATTGAGGTGTCACTGTTGAATGACAAGGCAGCAGCCTTCCCAGTGCACAGGTTCTGGAAGACGTGGCAGGGTCCCAGGGCAATGGGAAGTACCTGGATATTGTGGTTACTGCCTTCCCCAACATTGTCATCTTTCTCATAAGCACTGTGTCATCTCACCTTGAAAAGAGTTGCTGCTGTTGGTTTGGGTGATGTGATAACTAGGAACATGTGTGATTTGTAGGCCAGAAGAAGAAAGTCTTTGTTTGCAACCAGTGCTGGGCTCATTCCCAAATAGTTCCTGGCACACAGTAGGGGGGCAGTAACTGAGCTGATTGGAGGGATTTGCGCATGAATGGACGAAGTAAACTGTGGTGTTTGTTTGTATCTTTCACTAGCCAAGTTACCTTCTTCTAGAGTGGGGAATTTCCTGTGAGGATTAGCATCTCAGTGAAGAATCTGTAGGTTCTCTTCTGAAACTGTGCGAGTTCTGTTAGGACCCCATACAAGCTTACCGGTGATAAGAAGAATCGTAATGTACGTTTATCTTCACCTGTGTGTTCTTCCACTCTCTGTGTCAGTGTTTATTTACTAATTGATTGAAACTATTTCCTTATGTTATATTCCTACTTGTGCTTTTCAGTTTCTACTTGTTATTTGTTTCTAATTTGAATTCTTTATTCTCCATCTATGATTTCAGAGCATGGCAGTCTTCCAAGTCATGGGAGAGCTGGAGATGAAAAATTCCAAACAACTTATTTCTAATAATTTTTATATTTATAAATTTTTGTTCTTTTTTGGATTAATCTTATGCTTCCTTGCAACCCACCTCTTCATTCTTCCAGTGAAGTTAAGATGCCCTACAACTTACCATTCATCAAAACTACCATTAAGCCTGGCATGGTGGTACATGTCTGTGATCACAGAGACAGGAGGATTGCAAGTTCAAAGTCAGCCTCATAGTGAGACCCTATTTCAAAAGAAAAGAAAAGAAAAAAAAACTATACTTTTTAATTCACCCTCGGCTTCATCCTCAAATGTGGTGTGGATTCCAGTAATACAAATTTTAAAATTCAGTGGTCATTTCCACAGAGGTTGCACGTTTTAGATTTCAACTGATTAGGAATCAAATGTGTCTGTTCTCTAGAATTAGTGTTCAGTAATGGGAGTACTGATTTGAAATCTTATAGCTAAAATTGACATTTGCCTATAGAGTCCACTGTCCGTCTGTCTGTGTCCCCCTTCCCTACTGGTGAGGGATCAGCAGGATTCTGGACAGGAATATCCTTTGACATTGTATTTGCCCTCTGAAGTATATTGCCACAATGACTCCTTTCCTGTTTCTTTCTTTTTTCTTTTTATTTTTGAATATTAGCTTGACAGCTTAAATTTATGACATTAAAATTATCTGCAATCAATGAATGTATACGTTCAAATAACACCAAATTCCAAGACTTCAAGAAATCCAGAAAAATAAGCTTTTCTTTTTCCAGAAAGTGGAGAGTGGGTGTGGAGTAGAGGCTGCACTAGGGTCAGATGGCTAATTTCAGATCCTAGTTCTACCAGTTACCAACTGACAGCCATTGTTTTTAGCTCTGAAATGACCTTGTAAAATGTTTGGGAGGATTCAATGAGATAATGTCTGTGAAGCACTTAGCTCATAGCAAGATCTCAAAACTTGTTTTTGTCATTGTAATTATTATATGAATTCGTAACTGAAATGGCTGCATTTCATTGCTTAAATTTGCAATATGTCCTAAAAACTGTATTATTATTTCATTGGCTTGTTCACTGTAACTTATTTTGCATATTCACTCCTTAAAAAGAACCTGGTTTGTTTAATTTGGTAATTTTAGTTGTGCATGTTTGTGAAAGTCAAGCTGAAAATGTAACTTTTTGTTATTTTATAATATAAAACAAAATGGAAAAGTAAGCAAGCAAAATGAATCCTGTATTATGACTTCTTTTTCTCTTTAGATCTCCTAGAGAAATCTCGAGTTGTTAAGCAGCCAAGAGGTGAAAGAAACTTCCACGTGTTCTACCAGCTGCTCTCTGGTGCCTCTGAAGAGCTCCTCCGTAAGTCCCTGTTTTGTGTTTCAAGGTGTTACAACATGTTCCAAAGCATTCCCCTTAACACTCATTCCTTCTTAAAAGTTTTCTTTCCATGGCTGGTTGATGTGGAGAATATGATGTGTTTTCTTCTAGCAAACCACAGCATTTGTTTCATCAGAGACTGTGCTATACATTTCAGAAAGATTAAAAGAGTCTGATATTGGGGGGGAGTGCTAATCCCAAATTTTAAAAGTAAAATGGAAGAATATTTCACTTAGGGAAACAAAATTAGTAGGGAACAGTAAACAGTAAATAACAGTTATATAAAAGCAAATTGTTCAGTGCAGGTTTAAAACTATCGACAAGGACAGACCCCAATAGCTAATGGCTAAGTAATGCAGACTGAAATAAATGGTTCAAACAAGAAGAGCTATGAAGAGTCAGCCATTCTCAGGAAGAAAAGTCATCCTCACTCATACCAAACACACATTAAAGGAGCACTGAGGTATCTACATATATTTGCAAAAAGATAAAGCTGGCAGACTTGCGACTGATCTGCTTAAGCTGATCTATTAGACTGCATAGGTGGGTGTCACTTCAAAGTGAGGACCCCTTTCTGGGGAACTAATTAGCAGTCCCAGCTAGAATCACAAAATGACCAGAGCCTACCACAAGCTATACCACTTGGTGGAATATATCTCACCAGAATAATTCAAATGAATGTAATAAACAATTTAGATAAAGAATATTTTCCACTCTCCAATATTTATTACTATAAACTAGAGAAAACCAAATATGTATTGGAATAGCATGTCAAAGATACTTTAAAACTAAGGAATGGGACTTAATAACAATAAATGTAAAAAAAGCAGTTTGAGTAATGTACATTGACAAGCGATTTTAGGAAAATGCTGGTATTAATATTTGGGCATCAATTTTTATTCTGTTGATTTAATACATAATATGAAAGTTACCTTCTCTGAAGTGTTTAAAAAAAAAATGAGATACTGCCAGGTGTGATGACTCAGACCTGTAATCCTAGCTACTTTTGAGGCAGAGATCAGGAAGATGGTGGTTTGAGACCAGCCTGATCAAATAGTTTGCAAGACCCCATTGCAACCAATGACGAGGTGAGGTGGCATGCGTCTGTCATCCCAGCTACTTGGAGAAGCACAAATAGAAGGATGAGTTCCAGGCCAGCCCTGGCATAAAATGAGACCTATCTCAAAAATATCCAGCACAAAATGGGCTGCTGGTATGGCTTAAGTGGTGAAGGCTAGCAAGCCATGAAGCCTTGAGTTCAACTCCTAGTACTGTCTAAAAGAAAATATATATGAGATACTGAAAATGATTATATCGATTGAAATAACTTTTCAATTTGTATTTGTGATCGAACAGACAAACTTAAGCTTGAGCGGGATTTCAGCAGATATAACTACCTAAGCCTGGACTCTGCCAAAGTTAATGGAGTGGATGATGCAGCCAGTTTCAGAACCGTTAGGGTAAGACAAAGTGCTTTTATTATACTTTAAATGGATCACACCATATTGCTCATCAGAACTGGTAATAATTCTGAGCTTTCTTTAAATTATAACTCATGCTCCCTAAGGTTTTAGAATTGTATAAGAATTTGTTACATTTTTTATTAGTTTGGTTTTTTACCAGCTCAACAATCATACATGGTTGCAAAGGCTGTGTTTTACTAGCACGTGTGATTTTACCATTTATCAAAAGGAGCTTTCATATATTATCATGGGACTTGACTCTTTTAATGTTGTATTTAAATTCCAAGTGTTTTTACAGCCAAAGTTTTATAGCCAAAGTTAATTTCCAAGTGTGAAAACTGCCCTTGGATCCTGTTAAATCGAAACTTTTTGAGACAGAAAATCCTGTTTTTATACAGTTTTAGAAAACTGATGTATAAACCAGAAGGATTAGCATTCCACATTCATTAGAAAAGAAATGATTATACACAGTACTCTCTTTTCTGTCTTTATGTAGTGTGCACTTTCAGAATTACTCCCATTATGACACTATGTAGTAAAAGGAACTTATTCCAAATGAGGCCGCTGCGGTTGTGGGGAGGTGGGGAAGCAGTCACATTGGAGATGAAACAGGATAAGCATCAGGTAATCATTGTAGATGAGTGAAAAGGACATGGGGATTCTTTTCCCGCTCTCTTTACCGTTGTATATGTTTAAAATGTACATCACCCCATTGTTATGTAGCCTAGACATACACACACATACTAAGAATGCCAGCTGTTCTCAAAAAGAAAGCATCTCAGACTGTGCCATTTTTAAAAAACTGTATAAAAATCCTCATATGGAAGCAATAGACTCCACTCCTGGACATGATTTTGTTTTTAAGACCTGAGTCCAAGGCCAGTTCTGTAACCACTTTGCCTGGCACATAATTGGCACACCTTACAATTTAGGAAGAATGAGTGCTCCTTGCACCTATAGTGTCTTGATGAGGCACTTCATTTTCGCAAACCAGTTTTTCTAATATGTAAAATAAGCGAAGATGTTTTCTTAGTTGGGGGTGTAGAAGCATCTTGTTTGGTTTTATTTCTTGTAGCAAAACCCCAGTGTAAACCACATACATACTGTAGTGATTGAAATGGGGTAGGGACGGAAGCTTTGTCCCCATCCTCTTTGTCTCCTGCCATCTTGCTTCTTGCCTTCCCTGCTCTGTGGCAACAGCATGCAAAATATCCCTGGGGCCCTTGAATCACAGTTTAAAACCACTAAGCAAGAAATAGCCTTGTCTTTTAAGATTTTTTGCCTCCAGAAGTAAATCTATAATATGATACATTTAGAAGAAAAAAAAAAAAAACTGCCAAAACAAAATAGGTGTTCTTTTCTGTCTCCAGAATGCCATGCAGATTGTGGGCTTTATGGATCATGAAGCTGAGTCAGTCTTGGAGGTGGTGTCAACGGTGTTGAAATTGGGGAACATCGAGTTCAAGCCTGAATCGCGAGTGAATGGCTTAGATGAAAGCAAAATCAAAGATAAAAATGGTAAGTCAGTGGAGAATCAGCTTTGTTTAGGGAACTTGCTTTGAACTTTTGCCCAGTTTTTAATCTAGAAAGTAAAACTTATGTTTTGCATTGGTTTGAAAAAAACTTTCTAGTGAAACGAAGCAAGAAATGTACTTGTAGCTAAGTTTTAAATCTCTTAGTTTATATACATTAGTCTGTTCAATTTGAGTGTAATTTAGAAAAAAAGAACAGCTTAGGCCTCAGTAATGATAATTAGCATCTCCCATAAGGTCACCTTTTGTGTCCATTTTCCTCTGCCCTCCCTCTTCCCCCAACAGAGTTAAAAGAAATTTGTGAGTTGACTGGCATTGATCAGTCCGTTCTAGAACGAGCATTCAGTTTCCGAACAGTTGAAGCAAAGCAGGAGAAAGTTTCAACTACACTGAATGTGGCTCAGGTGAGTAAATCTTAATGTACAGAAGAAAAATTTTTTTTTAAGTTGCTGATTTTTTTATGTGAACTTTTGTTTTGCAGGCTATTATTTCAACTGACACACTGTATTCTAAGCATCGTTCTGGGTTTTGGGGACCCAGAGGAAAACTAAACAGATAAGGATCGCTGCCCTCAGGAACCTCAAACTTCAGGCAGGGGCAGCTGGATAATAGTCAGTAAACATAATAAAGAAATGATGTAGCAAGTCAGCAGGTGATAAGTGCAGTGACAAAGACAAAAGTAGAGCAGAATGAGGAGGCTCCGGAGGGACAGGGAAAGAGGCTGGAGGGAAGTAGGAAATGACTGGAGCAGTTCAAAGGGTCATCTGGCTGGATGTGGAGAGCAGTAAGCAGGGGTACAAAGAACAAAGCATCTGGGTTCCATTGGAGTTGGTGAAATGTGGACCCTTCCTGGATGTGTTTTGAAAGCAGAGTTCACAGGTTTGCTGATAGCTTGATGGTATAAGAAAGAGTCAAGGATGACTCAATGTTTTTGGTCAAGCTACCGGAAAAATGAAGCTACCATTTACTGATTTGGTAAAGAGAGTGGAGGAAGCCAGTTTTGTGGTCAAATGGCCAAATTGGACTCCCTGCCTTTCTTGTTGTACCCCCTGAGGCCAGTGAAGTCTTTCTAAGACATGGATCTGAGTTGTTGCTTCTTGTTCTTTTGGTTCAAGTTAAACAGGTGGATGTTTGGATGATACGTGTATGTCTGTGTACCCAGGCAGCATCTGGAGCCCTGTGCAATGTAAACCCTTGGTTCTGTGGCTTAGCCATTTCCCTCCAGTCACTGCTGCTCTGGGCTAGAATTAAATGACTAATTCAGAACTTTCCACTTGGGCCAACTTTGTTTATTCAACTGTATTCTCTTGTCTCATCCTTCTTATAACTAGCCTTATAACTTTTACCTTAAGCCTCTAGAAGACACGGTAGAGTTTGGGCCTTCTCTCAAGAATTTCAACCATCCTTTACTTTCTTTCAGCATTGCTTTCTTAGTTTAGGGGAGTTATAGTAGATGCAGATAATAGTACAATTTTATATATATGGAGATTTGGGGTATTGCAGTTCTTTCCTCAGTGTAACTGTGTCTGTCTTTCCTCTTAAATTACTGCTTTGCTTCTGTTTGCTGTCTGTCAAAGTCAGCTTCACTCTTCAAAGTCAGATGGTGAGTGGCTTACTTGAAGAAGATGTTGAGAACCTGCACAGCACAGGTGCCCACCTGGACTCTTCCTAGGGAAATAAGGGATTAAGAAAGGGTTCATAGCAAGATTTAGATGTATAAAGAGTGGGTGAATGGGTGTTTCAAAAATAAAGCATTGAGAAAAGGCGGGTTTGGAGCACAGAGCAGGGACAGGAGCAGGAGAGGCAGGCTTGGTCACTTTAGCTTTGGGAAGAGGATTCAAAGCAGCATGGCTGGGACTTGAGTATGGACAACAGTCACCTGGGGCTTGTTGAATGCAGTTTGCTGGCTGCACCCCCAGAATGTTGGATTCTGTGGGCCTGGGTTAGGACCAAAGAATTTGCATTTCAGTAAGCGTAAAGAGGCTGCTGCTGCTGGTCCAGGATTACATTTGGAAAACCAGTGAGTTCAGAGGTTTTCCCAGAGCAAATAGTAGTTGTTAAGTTTGTATGAATGTCATGAGAAGCCTTTGTTGTTTAAAAAGGTCCTGTAGGGATATGTGGATTTGAGGGTCGTTTTTTATTGTGTGTGTTGCTTTTTATTCATCCTCTACAGAAGCTAGACCAGGTGCCTCCTACCTCATTCCTTGATGAGCTTATTTGAGCTACCTTGTATCTTTGGGTAAAACTTTTGCCACATTTTGTTAACCTTTAGCATGAGATAATTTGGCTTGAGATCCTCAGTTTCCTGGGGCCCTTGAATCACAGTTTGAAACCACTAAGCAAGAAGTATTCCCACATAATCTAAGACACCATGCTCTTTATAAAATAAAAATGTACTGGTTTATTTTAACAGTAATGCCTGACTGTACTTATAAGTAGCAAAATACACATACATGGTCAGGATGCTGTAAAAATAGCAAAATTTGTAGCTTTCTTCTTCTAAGGCCAGTTCCTTCTTAGGCTGCTGATGTCATCCCAGCTCCCCAGGAGGCTGAATTCAAAGTCCTTAGTTACTTCCTGGACACATGGATACCCAGTACCTTCAAGAGCACTCAGACTTGACTTTTTCCAGCCTTTAGATTCTCAGTCTTTAAGACATGTGCTCCTGCCTTGTTTTTGTCTAATAGCTCTGAATAGCTTTAAAAGTACTTAAGTGAACACATGAAAAGAATTTTATTTTCATTGTACAATTTATGAAAGTTCATTGGGGAAGATTGTTTTTACAAAACTCTTAAGGACTGGGGTATGGTTCAATTGGTAGAGTGCTAACCTAGCAAGCACAAAGCCCTGAGTTCAATACTCAGTACCACCAGGAAAAAAAAAAGAAGAAAACACTCAAAAGGTTGAATGAAGAAACATTTATTGATCCCATCCCCCTGAGCTATTTTAATTTACTTTGAGCTTCCTTTCTGATGTGTGGGGGTGAAAAAAAAAAGCTACTGTATTAAGTATACAGCTTTTTTATTTTCACACATAAGCATTTCCATTTTATTACTTAATTTCATAACTTTTTCTATAATGACAATACAATATCCCTTTCAATGAATGTTTATGTATTCTTTTCCTATTGTTGGACTTCTGAATTGCTTCTGGTTTTCCTCTGTTCCATAACATTAAGAATAAATATCTTTGTGGGAACAAGTTTTGCAATATTTAGAACTTGTTTCCTAAGGTGCAAAAAAATAGAATATGTGTAAGTAAGCAATTTACCTAATTCTCTTAATGGTTTCACTGCTCATCCGGAGTGTAAGAAAAGCTGGTTCTCAAAAGAAATTTGAAAGAAAGGGGCTTTAAATATTTAAAATATATATGTATATATATTCTCATGATTTTGTGGAAAATAAGTATTGTAAGTTCTTTTTCTTTTTAATAGGCTTATTATGCTCGTGATGCTCTGGCTAAAAACCTCTACAGCAGGTTGTTTTCATGGTTGGTGAATCGAATCAACGAAAGCATTAAGGTACCAAGTCTCTACAGGCAAAGAAATCAGCTGTGGTACATAGCGTACACAGTGTAGCCTTGAAGTTGAAGAACGTTAGGTTTCATAATCAGATGATCACCACTTTGAAAGATTATTCCTTAATAAAAAAATCACCTCACATAAGATTGGATTGGGGTTTTCTTTCTTCTGTGTTGCCATGTGTGTTATAGCTTACTGGTGACTGAATAGTCCAAAGGCCTTGACAGAGTTGCATCCATGTGCTAACTCGTTGCACACATCTGGCTGAAAGGTCACTTTACCTTTGCAGTTACTAATAAGTTCTTCACTAAAATGAGAGCAGTAAACTAGTTATCTTGAAAGGCCTTACCTCTTGTAAGAGTCAATGATGCCTTTTTTTTTTCTTCTTAATAAATAAAGCACTAGTAGTGCCTTTTAAAACTAAGTCACCTGTTACTCAAATTTCTAAAGGATTCCATGCTGATATCCTGTCTCATAAGCTTTAAAAAACAACCAAATTAGTTATTCTTCTAGTTAAAAACAATTAACTTATAATGTGTTATAAGCATCCATATTCCTTGGATGCTTACAGTGTTCTGTTAAACTGAAATTAACTTATTGATTTGAAATTTTTTTAAGGCACAAGCAAAAGTAAGGAAGAAGGTCATGGGTGTTTTGGACATTTATGGCTTTGAAATTTTTGAGGTAAGATTTTAAAAATATTTTGTTAATGCTATTGCTAAAATGGAACAACTGGAAATTAAATCTTACATTTTATAGACAACTTTCATCATAAGTAACTATAACTTCGAATTTATAAATAACCGTAGGGTAGGTATAACCATACTTGGTTAAGGGTGTGTGTGAGAGAGAGAGAGCACACGTGTGTGTGTGTGTGTGTGTGTGTGTGTGTGTGTGTGTGTGTGTGTGTGTGTGTAAATGCTAAAAGCCAACATATGGAGACACTGCTGTTTAAAAGAACTTATTTTATTAGTAGTTGACTTTTGAAATTACAAATTTGAAATTCTTACTTGGAGACTTCTAACAAGCTGTCCAGATATTATGCCTGTTGCCATTCACTCATTTGTTTGTTGTTTAAAAAATGAGGCAGATAGGTACCATTAAAAAAAAAAAAAAAAATCCAGGAATGGGAGGGCCAAATGTTCTCATGCCCTGAATAGGGTTGATGAATACTTCTTTATGAGATTCAGAGAGTGAAGGTGGGGGTGGGGGTCTAGATTAGATGATACCTTGATTCTTACCCCGTTATAGTCTTGAAGTAATAAATTCTCCCATACAGGTTTGAATAATTTCTACTGATGTTCAGAATTAATTTTTTAGAAAAAGACTTCATGCTGACTACAGAGTAAATATTTAAACAGTACATATTTATATTAGAATTTCCTATTCACCTTGCTAACTTTAACATTTAGAAATAGTTTTAAGGACCTATTAAAATAATTCAGTTTTAGGAAGTGTTTTACTTGGGGTTAGGGAAACAATGAGTATACTAGGGCACTCCTTTCTTAATTCTTCCCCACAAGTAATAATTTGTGAATTCCTATAGGAGACTAGGCCCTGCCCAGAATGACCACCCTAAGACTTTGCATGCTCCAAAAAGTTGCAGTCATAGAATAACAGAAAAACCAACAAAACACTTCCCTTTAGTTGACTGTCCTTTGTAAAAAATTCCTTTTTTTGGATACATGTTTATAATAGTACATTCTTCCTCAGTCATGCTCCATACTTGGTAGCTAGTGGTCAGTACTTATCAAGAACTGACTGTCTACAAGGACTGTCTGATTTTAATCTTCAGAACAACCTCATGCAAGCAGCTGTTGTTATTATTCCCATTTTACAGATGAGAAAATAAGGCTCTAAAAGTCAAGTAACTCCCCCCAAATTATGCTGCTACTAAGCAGCAGACACAGGGCCTAAATTCTAGGTCTTCTAATATTTGCATTTATTGCTTTTTTTTCAAACTAGGGTTAAGTGAACAGCCATTTCATCACCTTTCTCCCTAAAATCACAGGTTCCCCAATATTTGGACAGGAGGAGAAAACAAAATGTTGTGATAAATGTCTGATTTCCCCCATTTTTCTGCCCTTGTCATCACTCCTAGCTCTTGGCTGGTGTTGGGAGCCTTCCCAGATGGAAGTGTGTGTCCTGGCAGTTTCCTCCACCCCCATGGTATTCCCAGAACACAGACCTTCCACATAATGTCTGCTTATATTGGTACCTCTGTAGCAGGATCTGCAGAGGAAAGCTGCCAGGCCCTTGGTAAAAGGGAAGAAATTTGAAGTTTATGAAAAGTAAATGGCTTGTGTAGACTCAGAAATCACTATGCTCAAATTAAAATTTCTTTCTAGCAAGACCTGAGGTTACTGTCACTAAATGGAAAGGATGTCAAAGTCATTCTTTACAGTTGTCTGGGAAAAAAGATTTCTTACCTAATACATTGCCCATCTAAATTTAAAAGATTTCATGAGCAGGGCAGATGGTAAGCAGAGGTTTTCTTAGAAAATTAGAAGAAAAAGTTACATTCAGTGGTATTTCTTAAAGATACTGATTTTATTTTAATTTTGCCAGAAAAAGACTTACTGATCTTTAGCCAATAGGTAATTCATGTCACAATACATGAAAACTTTTTAAATGGCATAATGGGGTTATGATGGGACAGCCACTTAGCTTTGTCTCCCAATATGTCCTAAGATCTAATTAGCTATGGGAAAGGAGACCCTAATAGTACTCATGAGTTACACCTCATGAGCAATTTGAGTCAGTTCTTACATATCTGCCTAATATGCACCAGAGCCCAGTGGTAAAGGAGACAGATAAGTCCATTATCTGCCTGGAGCTCGCAGTCTTGGCTTTACATTTGTAGGCCTGGTGCTGCCTGAGAACACATCTTATGGGGTAGGAAGTTCTGGTCAGGAGACTGAATTACTTTTTGAAAGTATTTGTTATGGATCTGATCAGAAGAGAAGTTGGAAGTTACTGAGCAAAATTTCCTTGAACTTGAACTAGGTGAAGTACCTTTCAGTAATCATGGAATATTTTTCACTTATGGTTAATTCAAGCTTCTCTTCAAGTGTGTCTTCCATCTTCAAATTAAGCCATTGATTTTCTCAGCACCGTCAACAGCTAGAAACTTAAGTAATTATTGAAAACATAGTCATTGTTTCTAAATGTTATTCTTCCTTTCTTTAGAGCAGCCCTCGACTTTAGTAGTTCTCACGCTGCACATTGCAATCACCTGGGGAGTGTTTGAAAATTCAGATGTCTAGGCTGTACCCAATCTCTAGGGTGGGACCCTAGTAGCCATATTTTTAATGCTCCCAGTGTGCAGTCAAGGTTGAGACCAAATGTTCTATAGTGAACTCTAAATTGCAAACACATGTGGCCTTCATGATGTCTGACCTTGTAAGACATCAGGCTTCACCTAATGGCCTTCTATATTGAAATCAGATCCCTACATGTAAAATATAACTAAAACAAAACAGGTTCCATTTTTAGTCCTTAAAAAAAAAACCTTTTAGCCAAGGACAAATCTAGTCAGTTATAGCTACAGCACAATCTTCTGGTGGCCATGAAAACATTAAAAGTTAATTTTTTCTATGCAGTAAATGGTTCATCTCCCCCCATCCCCATTTCCAGTTCCTTGAGAGAATTAAGAATTTTTTTATTATAATTAATTGTTCTCTCATTTTCCTTTCTAAACTTTCTCAGATAAATCTTCAAGCATCCTGATTTTTAATAACTTGCTTATTTTCTATTTTATAAACAAATTTGTGCGAATTTAGAATAGAAATTTAGTTGAGTGCTTTCGGATACTTTTATCTGCTTTTTGTGTACAAAACTACAAAGTTTTAAAAAAATTCTTTTAACATATTTTTCACATACATACCTCAGATACCAGTGTGCATTTTTGTGTATTCTCAGCAATACTGCAGTAAATGGAAACATTGGACAGTGTGTAGTTTTGGACACAAGGAAGCTCAGCTAATTGAGGACTTACAGTACCACAAGTTAAAGTCGCAATACCAAAGCAGTATTCAGAATTCTCGTTAATACAAAAATGGATAGTTCTGTATTTTCCACCCAAGAGAAAATAATAGAATGTAAACAAAATTCTGCCTTTGTTCTTCAGTGAAAATTGATTGTAAGAATTAAGAATTTTTGCCTTTAAGAATGTCATAGGCATCAGTTATGGAGAGTAAAGGTCCAGAACACTTTTTTAAACTTGTCTAATTCTGCCTCAGTGACCCCACAGACAGTTCCCATGAAACCCTTTTTTTCAGCTGAGCTGGTAGAAACCTTTCATTCCCTTTGCTCCCTCTCTAAATGGAAGAGGAAAACTGATGCATTAAACCATGGGATAATGACACGTGGATTTAACTGCAAAACATTCCGCTACCAGCTGAGTGAATAAGCTCTGCCTTGCTGGCTGCATGTGATCTGATGTCAGTTTAGAAAACAAATTAGTGGAACATTGATACCAAAAATAAGTCGAAGCGAATTGAAATTCATAGAGAAAAAAAATCTAACTATAATCAATCCAGCTTTCCAAAGGGAGAAAATTATAATCCACATACTCTAACAATTTCACACAATTAAGTTTGGGCATTCTTACAGCTGAGAATTTGGTCTAAGTACATATCTGATACCTATTAAAACTGGTGATCGTTTACTGGGAAAATCTAACTAAGCATTAGTGTTCTAGATAGAGACCATAGCAGACAGCAAAGGCTGATTATTTCACTTCTCATACAGTTGAGCTAGTTTCATTCAGGCAAGGTGCTAGTTATTTTTAATTATGCACTTGTCGTCGTCTTGTTGTTATGCATTCCACTGAAAGTTACCCCTCTTTGGGGGTCTGTGTTAGGCAGAGATTGTTCCAAATAAAACACACTGATACTTGGGTAAGAGTCAAAGTAGCCCAGGAAGTCCATCTCATGATTATAGAACTTATTTTCTAAATTCTTCTTAAAAGGAATTGAACTCTAGCTGTAGTCAATACCTTCAGTCCTAGTTTTTCACCTTCAGTTCTAATCCTTCATTTGCATGTGGTAGAGAACTTATGTTTGAAAGAGCCAACTTAAAGTAGATTTAAAAATGAAAATGTTGACAGTTGTGTGTTTGTGTGTGTATAAGTACTCCTGCTCCTAGTTTTTAAAATCAAAGCCTATTTAAAAATATGTAAGAAAATCACTGTAATACTGTTTTTCTTAAAATTTACCACTTTTGAGTTATGTACCTGGAAGAAAAATTTTATATATTTAAAGGGAAGTTGTCTAAAACTTTAGCCCATCATTCAGTTTTATGAATGTCTTGAAAGGAAAGTATTTAATGTTAAATGTTTTTGTCATGTTTTGAAGAATTTTTTGACGTTTGCTTTCTTAAGAGGCAATTACTGCTTTGGGGCCTATTTCTTGACGGGTTGTTAAAAATGGATTATGATTAAGTGCATTATATTGTTCTACAGAAACTGTAGTATAATTGGACTACCAAAGATTTTACATAAACCTTTGCTAGGGCCAGCAGCACTTTTATTACAGTATTACAACCCAGTTTACATATAAATGTGTTGTTTCATTTATTATGCAAGAGACATCACTATATTTAAATTATGAAGCTCTGTCTAGCATGTTATATGTAGATGTCACATGTTTGACTTGAAATGAAAATGCTTAACTTCATGTAAGAAACATAAGTTAAGTTTTTGCTTGAGTAAGTTATGGACTTTGTGTTTCAACTGCCCACTTTTTCCAGCACACCTGCAAAGTTCTTCCTGTCTCACCTTCCCATCTATGGAGGAGACAGTGCTGTCTCCTATTTGCCTCTTCCTTTTAAAATTTATTGTTTCTAAAGAGTACAAGATTTTTAAAAATATCTGTCTGCCTTAAGGGGTATAAGATATCCTTAGCTGCATCTGTTGCTAAGGAGACTATAAGAAGGCCAGTGATTTTCCCTAATCATTCCACATGGAACATTCGTTTATTGATACTTGGGAATATTAACTAGTTAGGAACTCCTCTGAGGGTATGCTCTTGTATCCCTTTGATGCTAAAAGGATGGACTTAATGTCTAGAATTTTTTTTAAAGAAGCCCTAGAATTAAAATTTTTGGTGTGTTACATACTTTTTTAAATACTGCAAGCGCTCGCTGTCGCAGTCACAGTTGGTATGCACGGTGTGACGTAGCGTAGAACGGAGATGCCTTCCTTATTGTTCACTGTGACCTCCACAGCAGTCTACTGAGGACTGGAGCCTCTTCTGAGTTTCTTTCAAGGGGATTGTATAATAGAAATTCCAGAATGTGCTTGTTTAAAGCTGTTTGTAAAAGTTTTAGTTTTATCCCTCAGTCTCTAGGATAAATGTGGGTAAGACAGCAGAGAAAAATTCTGTGCAGGGAGTATGGGTGGAAAACCGGAGGGAAGAGTTGAGTCATTCTCCAGGGCAAGCTCCTGCCACTTCCTCCTTCGGACATTTGCTTCAGGACACTGACACAGAGAGAGACGCTGGCTACTCACACAGTTCTTGGCAAACCAGGAAAGTATTCAAGCCTAAAGTTGCTTTGAGGCCTTTGGGTTTATGTGATGGTGTCTAGACTCAGGAGAGCTGTTTTATAAAGGGGAAGAACAGCCCACATTGAAAACTGAATGTTAATTTAATTTATAAGTGGAGAAATGGGATGGACCTGTAAAAATTGGAGTTACTTGAATTATTACTAGTTCATTTCTTAATTTTTACAGGTTATTATTGTTTAAATTTTCATAGGTTATTTTTAGCCATGTGCTCAAAGCCCCATTTCCCCCCAAATTTGAACAGTGTCAATATTTTAAACTTAGATCACAAGAAATATGAGTATTTAGCCTTCAGTTTTAGCAGTAATTATTGCCCTGACCATTCGTGGCATGTTTTGGAGTTTGGGTGGTGTATCTGTAGGAATGCTGATTTCCATTGGGTGAAATAAATTCATTTCTACACTGATGATTGCTTTTGTTTGGGGACTTTTGGTTTTTAGCAACAGAATGAGATTGGAGTGTCAGGGTTTGTTCTTAGGCCATCTTATGAGGATACTCTCTTCTTACCATCTTGTTTTTGGAGGAAGGGCCCAGCAAAGTACTGTACTGGGGTGGAGCAGGACAAGAAGAGGAGGTACTTCAGGATCTTGCAGGATCTCTTCACCTTCTGTGATCTGACAAATGCCTTTGTCCTTTACCCTTTGCATAGATATGGACTTGGGCTATATGTATGTACCTGCCTTTACCCTAATCATTTAGAATTAGGTCGTATGGATTCTGAAGGTATAGGGCTTCGGTGAGTTATATGAGTTATCATTATTTTAGTCAAACCATTTTTATCCTGAATATCTCTCCCTTCGTTGAGACACTATGTGTAGGTACTGTGGCCCTGCCATTTGGATTGTTTGTGTCTTGATGTAAAGTTTGCACCAATCAGAAATGCAGCCTGTATAGTAAAGCTATTGTTTGCAACAACGAATAACTGTCAGTAAGTGATTACTTTTATGTCTATTGCAAATTAAGAACTGACTGCATTTTGTGTAATCTGTCCCTCTGCACCAGAATGCAGTAAGTATGAATTGTTTGCAGTGCCAGTCTGTTGCATGCTCCTGTGTTAGTAGCTTCTCTAGCCATGTGAGTTTTGCAGTAAATGGTTGTTGATTAACCGTGTGGACACGAAACATAGATTTTGGACAGAAATTTTTAAAGGTTGACGGCAAATTTAATTTTGCTCTAAGTTAATTCCTTAAGTTGTGTTGTAATTGTGAAGCTTTGCTTCTGATTTCTAATCTGCTTGTGTGCATTTCGTAGTCCTGTTTTGGAAATGTACTTCAAGCTGTTTATAGCCACCTAATGTGCCCAAGAACCCTAGTTACTCCCCACTCCCTTCTCTTCATTAGTTGCCATTTGAAAATTTAAAATAATTGTCTTGAAATAACTCTGAATGCACAGATTTACAAATAAAAGAAAGGATTTGTTCCATTCGTTTGTTTTCATAAAAAAAAGATGTTTTTATTAGCCATTAAAATTTATATTTTTCATTTACAATAATAGCATTCTGTAAGGGTATAGTTTACTACACCAAGAAAGCTAGATTTTCTCATGTATGAAATAGCTTTACACTAGTTAAAACATAAAAAGATATCTGACATATACACAAGACTAACCAGTTTCAAATCAAAATTATTAGCTGTGAGGTCTTAAGAAGTTGTGTGAAAATGCATACTCGGAAATGCCCTATAGGTACAAGATTATATTTGCGATAGTATTGAAAATAAATGTTTTCTCTTTAATAAGAACCTTCAGAATTTTGAAAAGGCCAAACAGACTTTTATCCTTGACTAAATGTATGAATTCACGTGGGTCCTTTATGGTTTAGAGTGAAAACCTTCCTGTGATCAGTTGGTTTCGAGTGACTACGAATTCTTTACTGAATTCCAGGAAGGAATAAAATTAGATGCCCCATCATAAGTTTCACTTTATGTCTGAGGTGGGACCAAAGTTGATTTTAAAAGATCAACTTTCAAAAATCTATGACTCTTTTTTACCTTTGTTATTTATGGAGGGAGGTGAAGGCTAGTTGCGGTGTTACTCACAAGGAGCTGTGACCTTCACTCCACCATTACACGAGGAACCTCCGTATTACACTAGGACTGGCCATCTTGTTGGGAGAGGAGTCAGGTTTACCAGGGATGCTGTCTTTTTGTCTTTGTTCCCACTGCCACCAGCTCTTGGCAGTGAGGAGAGAGAGGTAAAAGACAAGCTTTGGTGTCAGATATACCTCTTCCTGGAAGATGGGGTCAAGGTGTAGTGTATTCACTCAGTAGACATGTATTTCCTGCCTCCACATTTGCAAGAGTACATTTAGCCCTGAGGATTGTTCAGAAATGATTTAGGCATGGAGCCTATATCAGAGAATTCCTAAGAGAACTCTAATACGAGGAGAAGCTGCTGAGACCCATTAGAGCGATGAAGCATGGCGCTTCTGAGAAGAGACTGTTTCTGGTGAGGGAGGTGGTTTTGATGCTTTAATTCCATTGGGTCTCTTTGGTAGGAGCCTCACTCATTCATTTGCTCAGACAGTACATGCTGAATACTGGTAAAGTAGATTGTGAGCATGGAAACACAGTGAACAGAGAATATGGCCAGGCATGCTGACACAAGATTAGTGCAGTCTACTAAAAGATGAATGTGAAACTAGTCTGCACATGTGTACACATCATCTGTACACACAGTGTATATAGCAGGATGTCAGACGGAGGGAGGGAACTGAGCCCAGATGGGGAGAAGAAAAAGGTCAGCTCAGGGGGACTTCCATGAGCCCAGAAGTTTTACCTGAGAATGGAAGAATGAGATGCTGGTGACAGACATTAAGAATCTCACTGTATCGTAACTGATCCTCAAGGGAATTTTTTTTAACCATGTGTGGGGTGCTTCTCTGTCAACTAAAAATCTTCATCCTTCTAGTATCGCATCATTTGTGCATACTTCATTCATTCATGTACTCATGAGCCATTCCCCACGTGCCTGCAAGGGCAAGTGTTGGTCTTAGGAGCTGTGTGCCGGGCCACAGTTAAGTCTGAAAGATGGTGTGTGGCATCTCTCATGGACTGAGTGTTACTGTTAGAGAGCGCTAGTGACATGGTTTATAAGTTTTTTTCATTTTGTCCATACAGGATAACAGCTTTGAGCAGTTCATTATTAATTATTGTAATGAAAAGCTGCAACAAATCTTCATTGAACTCACCCTTAAAGAAGAGCAGGAGGAGTACATACGGGAGGTAATATTGAAATACTCCTTTACAATGTTCCTTTTCAACTGGCTATGGTGATACACATCTGTAATCCCTGCTGTGTGGGAGAGGAGGCAGGGGGATCTCGAGTTCAAGATCCACCCAGGCAAAGTTAGCAACACCTTACCTCAAAAACAGAAGGGCTCGGGGCATTGCTCTGGTGGTGGAGCTCTTGCATGGCATGCTCCGGGCCCTAGGTGCAGTGCACAGTACCACCAAAAGAAAAATCAGTTTTCACTCATAATCTAAAATCTGGATTCAGGAGACTATGTAAATATGACCTAGGAATCAGGTTTATATGAGTTTACTCATATTCTAAAAATGTATTTGCATGGCATTTAAGCAAGCTGGGATTTTCCTTGGTATTACACCTCTAGTGCCCAGAACAGTGCCTGGCACATAGTAGGTGATCGATAAATACCAGTTGATGTTAAGAAAATAGAGGTGAAAGGAAAAACTGTCTTGTTGCGCCCATCCAATGGGTTAGTCCTCTGCCTTAAAAGGCAGTGAGTAATTGATACATACAATAGCATGAAAAGTCTCCGGCTGAACGACTCCATCCATTGTCATTTGTGAGAAGCAAAGCTAGAGGCAGATTGCCTACCGAGGTTGCCTGGGGGTAGGAGTCCTGGAGAGTGGGACTGCTGAGAGACTGCCAGAGAGAATTTGGAGGACTGTTGTGGTGGTTGGTCATATCACACTGTGCATTTGCTAAAACTTTGACAACTGCATATCAAGGAAAGGTAATTAGCTAACCTTTACAGAGCATTTGCTAGATTCCAGGTATTAAATATTAAGTGCTATGTATGGGTTATCGCATTTAATGCAATGCGAAAATAACCAGAAGTGATGTTTGCAGTCCTTTCAGTTTAACTCTAAAACACATTCTTGATTTTCACCCTTTCATTTTTAAATAGCCATTCTTTTTCTAAGCATGAATTACTATTTTTAAAAATGGAAGAACTATCTTCTTGGGTCTGTATTTTAATTTCCTTGCTTTAATCGTTATTAAGGACACTGAATTTTGTTTTTTGATATTTCAATATAGATTTTTCTTTGTTTTTGAAACAGAGTCTCACTTTGCAGCCCAGGCTGGCCTCGAACTTAAGATCCTTCTGCCCGGTTTCATGAGTGCTAGGATTATAGGCATGCATCACCACACTCAGCTAGATTTTTCTAATGTGATTGTTGATTCCCAAGTGATTTACTAGAATAACATTTTTTTTCTTAGCTGAATCATAAGTGTGTCATCTTTGTTTTAGAATGATCATTATACTTTGGAAATGGTTTGTACTTGTCTGGCACCTTTTAGAAACATAAATATCCTAGAAGCAACATTCGTTCTCTTCCTGCCTTCTCATCATAAAGAGATACCCAAACTTTGATGTGTAATTTAAAACAGTTTGTGCAGATTGTCTAAAACACTTCTGAGAATATATAGGAACATCTTCAGCTTACTTTATGAATTACATTTCTTTCCCCTAGAAGAAAAGTGAATGTTTACACTTAGAGACAGAGTGTAAACAGACACAGAATGACTGTAGGCTTATCTTTGTAACTAATGTTACAGCCAGTAGATAGGTTTATCTTTCCTTACATTGAAAATACTTTGTCTTAGTACTGGGCTTTTCATACACTTGAAGTAGTTAACTGCCCTACAACTTAGGGTTGACTCTAAAATTAATTTTTTCCTTGTGATGACAAATAAAGAACAGGAAATTCTAGGCCTTAGATTCCTGGGATCAAGTTCAGCCTTATTTCCTTATAAACATTGTAAATATACACAAAGTAATATTGACCCAAGGGCCTCTTGAGTAAATATGTGGCTCAGAGCCAGGGAAGTGCATGGGAAATTGCCACGGAGGGGAGAGTGGAATGGGAGGCAATATCAGAGCAGGCCAAGGGCATTCACTTCAAACAGATGATGTAGTGGTGGCCTGCTGCATTGAGAATGTTTTGGGAACCGGAAGATGACATTTGCAGCACCAGTTCTATAAAGAAAATAAATTCAGAGAGAAAGTGAGATGTGATAAGATGAGCAGAGGCTGTTTTTCTGGGTGGTATTGTGGCATCATTATATGGATTTGATTTTGTTCTCTTTTATTTTTTAGGACATAGAATGGACTCACATTGACTACTTCAATAATGCTATAATTTGTGACTTAATTGAAAATGTAAGTACTTAGGTACCATTTTCTAAAGAAATCTTTAGTAATATAAATGGTCTCACTGCTTTTGATGCTAAGTGTTCATATTTTCACCATTTTACACATTTCTTTTAAGTTGCTACAGAGTTTTGGAGACTTCATGGTGGCCCTAAAAAAGATCATTTACAGCTCTCAAACATGTACATGTTCAGCTGGACATATTGATACGTAGCCAGGATCCCCCATGCTCACCCCATTACCTTATCACTGTCCTTTGATGACTTTCAGATGCTAGGACCTTAAACTCACCAGTCTTTCTTGTGTGCTTGAGCCCTGGTCTAGTCTTGGCTTCCGGGAACGTGAGTGCTAGTCAGGAGGCTCAGAGAAACCATGCAGACTCTTGCATTTCTTTTCTAAAACTCTAGTGCCTTCTTAGTGTACTGTTCAAGCTAACATGAAGGAGGAAAGACAGACAATGTCTGGAGCTAAATTGAGTCATTGCAGCCCTTGTATTGACTGGAGAATGTATGCATGTGTGATTGCAGGTGGTCAAGGACCGGGAATTTTTCAGATGGCGCAAGTATGTATGTGCGTGTGTAAAGGCTTAAAAAGTCATTTTTAGAAGCTGTCTGAATCTAAGATTTTTAAGACCATATTCTATTGTTTATTATAAATGGGGTAATTGTAGGAAGACTTACGTGTGTGTGAAAACAGGAAACTCTTGTTTTATGCTTCCCGAAAGTGGCATTTTTAATTAAATTGAGCATTAAAAACAGTATTCTAAAGCATTAATAAAATGAACTTTGTCTTGAAAAATCTGACCAGTATGAGAATGGGAACACTAATAGTCCACATAAAGAGTTAAAATCTCTAGCCTGAAGACCAGATAAATCAGTAGATTTCCTGAAAATTTTTCCTAGTAAATTTTATAACCAAGGTAATTTGCTGTGGAAACTCCTAACACTCAGAATTCCTGGCTAGCATGTTTTTATTTGTAAATATAACATTGCACTTCACTATTTCTCTTTAAAAAGAGTGGAAAAGGGTAATATACTTAATTTAAGTAGATTACGTCAGCCAAAAATCCCCTTCATATATTACTGAAGAAATTACTGAACATAATTCATATGAGAGTCTGAGTACATAAAGGAAGTGTTTCCTTCCAGATCATAAAAACAATAATGTTTATTCTGGGGATGTTATGAACACACTTGATTCCTGAGAGCCCACACTTCCCCTGGGTTTTGTGTGGAATGAATAAATGCTGTCCAGAGGATGTCATGGCCTTGTGTGGGGAAGGGGAAGGGAAGTGGGTGGGGCTGGTGTCTTTAAACTTAAGACCTACGGATCTGTAGGGGCAATCCAAGGAGAACAGCAACCTTTATTTAGCAAAGAAGAAGATTCCTGATGATTTCTGGTTCAGTTTAGGACTTGCTGCTCTTGAAATAAACATGGTCATCGGGTCTGATATGTCACAAGTGAATTTTCACTCAGGTTTAGCATCCATTTGGAAATTTTTTATGGAACAAGAAAGCAGCTTGGTTTCACAGATCATTAACAGCAGCATCTCAAATCACTACTTTTAAGTTCTGGAGGAGTGGCTCAGGTGGTAGAGCGCCTGCCTAGCAATCGCAAGGCCCTGAGTTCAAATCCCAGAACCACCAATTAAAAAAAAAAAGAAGCCAAGTCTAAGTAGTTCTTCAAATCACTACTTTTTTTCTCTCTCTAAAAACTCAAAAAAACTTTTGTTTTGGACACCTGAACAATTTAGAAACACAAAACCACTTTCCTTTGCAAACTGTGAATCCAAAAATGATGTTAGGAGGCAGTGTTTTATGATATTGTCCCATTAGTTTCTGACTTTTGGATCTTTGAGGTGTAGCTTGCCTTTTCCTAACAGGATGAATTTCATTTATACTGAGGTGTCTGTGTGTGTGGGGGGGAGATACTTACATGTCCACACCCCCCACACATACACACCTGGGATACTTTAGAAAAGGACTGATTTCTGGGGCTTTTATAGCTGCTTTTTGTTGTAGCTGAGCAGATTTTTTTGTGACTAAGTTGATTATATTTTATGGTGTAATTCAGAGTAATTAGTAAAACAATACAGTGAGGAAGGAAGGGAACATATTTATTTCCTTTCTCCTAGAACACAAATGGAATCCTGGCTATGCTGGATGAAGAGTGCCTGCGGCCTGGCACAGTCACTGATGAGACCTTCTTAGAAAAGCTGAACCAGATCTGTGCCACCCACCAGCACTTTGAGAGCAGGATGAGCAAGTGTTCCCGCTTCCTCAATGACACATCTCTGCCTCACAGCTGCTTCAGAATCCAGCATTACGCTGGCAAGGTACTGGGAGGCCGTGAGCACGCACCAGGCCTACAGTTATTCCCACAAGGGGCCCACACCTCTGGTGGCGGTTCTAAACACTGTTTCTTTGATGATAAATACACCTGTGAAGATAGATGGATCAGTAAATGTTCAATAGAAATCAAACCTGGACCATGTAGGGCTAAATCTTGTTAATGCAAAAGAACTGAAGACAAACCCACTGGACCTAATAAACAGTCCAAATGTATTTTAAAAATCGAGAATCACTGAAGTAAGGGTTTAAAAGCACAAGCTGTTTACAAAAATAATAAATTCCTATATTGAGATTTTGAAACTATACTGAGGGAAATACCTACTTATTAAGAAAAAGCACTTATCGTTTGGCTAATGTTTGAGGGAATTAATTTATGTCATCTACTATGTAAATGTAATGATAAATATCATTTAGGCAGTTGGTTAATTCTTAGAATCCTGAAAGATTATTGATTAGAGTTAGTGCTGCCTTTATTGCAAATAAGATTACAAACCTCAAGAGACAGGGATAAAGTCTTAGTTACCTGTTTAGCAAAAACTTGGATAGTATCTAAATTACCTTTTATTTTAAAATGTTACCTTTTATTTCAAATGTTACTTGTTTTAACTGGCCTATATTAAAAAGATATACTTCTGATCAGTTTCTCTGCTGCTTTAGGATGTCTGTTAAAATGTTAGTGTTACCTCACTTTTCCTGTCTACTTTTAAACAGACTAGAATTGGCACATGTGAAGCAAAAAACAAAAGTAAAACCTCCAAATATGCTCAGATACCAAAAAAATCTAAAATCCTTTGAAAATGCTATGATAACATTTTTGGAGTTTATTCTTGCAAATCCTGAAGGGTAATAGAATTTATTTTGATCTCTTCTGCAGTTTAGACAGATGGAATTTAAACTTGGAGGCAAATTTGGTATTAGAATGTGGCTAACGTGTTTGGGTTTTTTTGATGGCAGAGGAAGAAATAGATAGTCTTGGAATTTTCATAATGTCGTTTGACGTTGTCATGTGCATTGTGCCAACCACTGAGCCCTGTGTGCTGCTTGCAGGTGCTGTACCAGGTGGAAGGATTTGTTGACAAGAACAACGACCTTCTCTATCGAGACCTGTCCCAAGCCATGTGGAAGGCCAGCCATGTCCTTATCAAGTCTTTGTTTCCTGAGGGGAATCCTGCCAAGGTCAACCTGAAAAGGCCCCCTACTGCAGGGTCACAGTTCAAAGCATCCGTGGCCACGCTGATGAAAAATCTACAAACCAAGAACCCAAACTACATCAGGTATTTCTGGCATATAAAATTCTTCGGTGGTTCAAATGTGAGAGCACTCTCAAGGAATATCATTTTCCTTTTTGCTTAAATCTCAGAATAGCTCACGTGGAAAGTGTAACTAGCATAGTTACAGATCAAATAATATCGTATCTTTGGTTGGTTTTGAAAATTCTCCATCATCCTTTTTTCCCCCAAAATGAGGAAGGAAAAAAAATGTAAGGAAAAAAAAGTGGGGGCGGGGGGATGAGAACATACACCTAATGGTTAGAAACTAACTGAACTGTTTGCCTCTGATCTGTGCATATCATTTCCTATAAATGGCACTTCAAGAAAACAGCTTTTTAAAAAATACACTCCATTGGGAATAAGCAAATCTACAGAGTTTCTGATTATAGAAAATTTCCTGTTTATTTTTTTGGAAACTAATTTTCTCCTAATGTATGTTCCAACCTGATGGCAGTCAAACCTAGGTATGTTGCTATTTATGTTTCTGTGGACATAAATACTAAGTAAACAAGTCAAACTTAGAATGTTCTTCACTTTAGTTTCCTCATAATTGAATTTTCAAAGGCAGCTACAGGAGTGGATGTGGACGTGGGTGCACTCTGTGAAATCCCAACCATCAGACAGCACACCTCCTTTTGTGTAGTTACCAAATATGCATATGGCATAGTCTAACCCTAGTTGGTCTTTCCTGACTCGAGAAAGTTACATCTGCGGTGGGTGTTGTGGCTCACACCTGTAATCTCAGGTACTTTGGAGGTGGAGATTGTGAGGGTTGAGGTTTGAGGCCAACTCAGGTAAAAAGTTAGCACAGGATCACAGCTCAACCATTGCTGGGTGCAATGGCACATGCCTGTCATCACAGGTATGAGGGAGGCCATAGGTAGAAGGACTACAGTCTGATAGAGAAACAGTAAGAAATATATGTAGGGGGTTAATCTAATTAAAGTAAGACTATATACATTTGTGAAACACAAAAGCAAAACCCCTGAACAGTCAACATACACTTAAGAAAATGAAGGACAGGAAGGTAAAGCAAGTCCTGTTTGAGGTGGGTACCAGAGGGGGAGAGGATGAAGGAGGGTGAATATTTTGGATGGATTTTGTATTCATTTATGAAAATAAAACACTGAAACTTGTTGAAATTGCTCTAAGAAGTACAGAGGGAGAATGGGGAGAATGATGGGGGGGGGTGAATCTAATTAAGATACATTATAAGCACATGAGTAAATATCACAGTGTATCCCCTCTGTACAACAGTTATATGCTAATAAAACATTACAACAAAAAAAGCATAAAGGGTTGGAGGCATGGCTCAGCTGTTAGTGCCTGCCTAGGAAGAGCAAGGCCCTGATTGCAAACCCAATACCACAATAAAAAAAGAGTTACACCTAAGATTCTCTAGAAGCAGGAAAAAAAGGCCAGCAGTTCAGTTGTTTTTAAATCACTACTTACGCTTTGTTAATTACACCCAGGAAGCAATATCGAATATTTCTATCATTTCAGAAAGTTCCTTCATTCCCCTTCCTTTTAGGGGTGTTTATATTTTCTCCAAGAAATCTTAATAAATTCCAAGTTTGTGGATATATTATGTACTTCCCTCTAGATTGTAGTTTCAGATTTCATATGTAGGTCTACTTCTTTTCCCCATATAGGTGTCTTGTTGCTCTGTACCATATATTGAATGTTTGTGTAGAGGTCCAACTCTTAACTCTATTGTTCATTCAGTTGGCTTGGTCCCTCCCTCATGATCAGATGACTACATTGTAGAGACCTAAGACTGAACTTACTAGGCTATTCCATTGATCTGTTTCTCTAACCTTATTTAAGGCAAAGAAGCATACATAATTGCAAAGCAGACTAGGAATAGTCTTTCTCTGGGCAGCAAAAGTGCCCAGCTAAGGACTGGTGGAGTGGCTCAAGTGGTAGAGCACCTGCATAGTAAGTGTAAGGCCTTAAATTCAAACCTCAGTATTGCAAAAAAAAAAGTGACCTGTTAAAAAAGAAAATAACGTTTTATCTTTTATGGTGCGTAATATACTTTACACTTTATAAAGTATGATGTGTATATAGTAAGTGCATGAGTCTTAATTATACAGCTTGTTGAGTTTTTAACATATGGATGCATGCATGTTATGTCATTCTGACCAAATCTGAAGCATTTCCATCATGCCAGGTCTCCTTGTTCCTCTTCTATATTGATCTCCAATACCACCTCTCCTCAGAGGTAACAGCAATGCTGATTTGGATTAGTTTGCTTGAACTTCACATAAATGGAATCATACAATATGCACTTCTTTCACGCAACAAAATGTCAATGATAGTCCTGTGTGGTTGCATGTTTTAGCAGATTGCTTCTTTTAACTGCTGTGTATACAGTATTGTATTCATTTTTAGTATATTGTAAAATGATCTGAGAGAATTTGAAAAGAAATGACTAGTTTTCCAGAGAATTGCAAATAATTACTTTACTACAAAATGTCTAGACATGCTATTTTATAAACCATGGACAGTTAATGTCCATGGAGGCCGAGTTTGAAACCTAAAATATTGAAAATCTTTTAGGTGTATCAAGCCGAATGATAAAAAAGCAGCACACATCTTCAGTGAGAGTCTAGTGTGCCATCAGATCAGGTACCTGGGTCTTATGGAGAATGTTCGAGTGCGGCGGGCAGGCTATGCCTTCAGGCAGGCCTATGAACCTTGTCTAGAAAGATACAAAATGCTTTGTAAACAGACATGGCCTCACTGGAAAGGACCAGCAAGGTAAGAAGTTTGTTGGCTGCATGTAATAATGAACTTTTTAATGTATCCAAGTAATGTTTTTTTTTTTTTTTTTTCCCCATATGCTGTTGTGAAAAATTGGGTGTAACCTCTGTTTTTGACTCATTAGGATACCATTTTGGTTAGTTCTTGATTTGTTCTAGAGGTCTTAATTTTCTTTAAGATCAGAACGGGACTTCTGAAAACTACATTTGGAACTTGCATGTCAGTAGATGTTTAAATTTACAGGAGACAGTTTGTAGTTGTTATATAAACTTGAGTAGAATCATAGAATGGTGAAGTTGGAGGCTTTTTGGATAGCTACTCTCAGCTTTTTGCTTTTGCCCTGGAGATTTTCCCCCAGAGAGAGTTAGTGTGTGGACTAAAGGTCCTGCAACTTGTCTGTTTACCCCAGTTGAGAAATAGATGGAAGGAGCAGATAGGATTCAGTGGTGTTTTTATTGCTGTTCGATACAGCTTGGTCCTGGGACTGTGTGGCTTTCGGCTAGTCAGTGTGAATTGTACTCACCCCTCCAGTCCCAGTGTATCCAGACATTGCAGACCTGCACCTTGAAGCATCCCATCACCTATGAGCTGTGCACATGCAAGAGAGAACTTGTAGGCTGGTGTGCAGCCGCTTCAGGAGAGAACTCAGGCCTGGCCTGTGTAGTGACCTTTCTTCTGCTCTTACCAACCAGAGCTCACCCTTTTCTGTGGGCTGCAGAAGACTGAATACTATAGGAGGCCAAGTGTTCCTGCTTGTGAGACAAGCACTTGGGGATTTTCATTTCACCATGAGGCGATATCTCCACATTGTTAGTGGACCCAGCCTTTCACGAGAAGGTCAACAGTAATTAGACATGCACCCTGTGTTATAAGAAGACACAGAAACCCAGACATATGGTGTGGTCTCTGATGTCTAATTCAATACCCAAATAATGTAGGGTCTGGGTATTGTTTCCATTCCCACTGCTAGTATCTAAGATATTGTGGTAAATGTGTCCATAACACAGAACTTACCCTGTCTGGTTTAGTCCACAGGTTCATGGAGTAAGGGTCCTTTTGAAACTGTTCTTGAAGTCAGCTGCAGTGGTTCAGGCTTGTGATCCTAGCTATTCGGGAGGTAGAAATTGGGAGACTTGGGATTTGAGGCCAGTCTGAGCAAAACTTTCACGAGACCCTCATCTCAACCAATAAAAGTTGGACATGGTGGTGTGTACCTGTCACCCCACCTGTGTAAGGAGGCATAAATAGAATTGGAAGCAGGCCAACCAGAACATAAAGCAATACTGTATCTCAAAAAATAAGCAAATTAAAATGGGCCAGTGGCCAGGCTTAAGCTATAAAGTGCCTGTCTAGCAAGCACAAGGCCCTGAGTTCAACCCCCACTATTGCCAGGAAGGGGAAAAAATAAATAAAGTACATATCTGTTGTTGAACCCAGAGTCCAGGCCTCATCCCTACTATGTAGGGTCCATGTTCCTTAGCATCCAATCAGTCTGGCACTTGGCATTGTCTCTTGGGCCTTGCCTACCCTTTGAGGGGCAGGAATTAACTGAGTTTGGTATAGTTTCAAGTTCTTACACTCTCCTGGCCCTGGTTGATACATCATTATGGGTATATTGTTGTAAATATTACCTTTGCTAATGAAATCAAGATTTGGCTTTAATAACAGACTTTCTTAGTACACATAGTTCTGAATCCAATTTTTTTTTTTTTTTTTTTTTTAGCATTTACTGGATTTGGTTTAATTTGTGGAATTCAGTCTTAAAAATCTTTGTGGAAGGATGGTTATTGAAAGCATAGTTACAAATGAAGTTACACCACGAGAACATGGTCTCATGATATAAGAAAAGATAAAATAGTTTTGTAACTCAGGAAAGTCATTGTTTTTATTTTTGTTCATTCTCTTTAGGTCTGGGGTAGAGGTTCTGTTTAATGAATTAGAGATTCCTGAGGAAGAATACGCCTTTGGTAGATCAAAGATTTTCATCCGAAACCCGAGAACAGTATGTAATCAAAACCTTTACAGTTGAATTCAGACAGGCCATTCTTAAAGGGTTTTTAATTTGGTGACATTATCTGAGGTGCTTCTATGAATGCCATACTCCTGTGTTCAATCTGCAATGTCCAAGAGCTAGGGCATGTCAGAGGTAATGAGAGAACATGTGTTGTATTCATGAGATGTCAGTCTTTCAGCTGATAAATTGTGTAACACTTAAGAATTGATAAATGGTCACAACTATGGAAACACCTCCCTAATCCATAGCAACTGGAGGTAAAGTCAGTCTGTGTTTGTAATATCTGAGTCATACGATAATTTTAGAAACTGTAAAAAGAACACCTAAAATCCCAAGGGTACCTTTGTATAAATGAATAGATTAACATGAAGCATAATTAGTATAGCAGTTGATTTGATAATTTAGTTCTCTAAACTAGAATTTAGAGAACTTGGAAGTGTTTAAATTGTTGAAGAGAGAAAATTTGTCTACCTCCCCTTCCCATCACAAATGCTTGGGATGAGATTTTGGAGTTTTTTGAGTCTCGGAACATCTGCACCAACTTTACTGGTTGGTCCCTAATGTGAAAATCTGAAATCCACAGTGCTCCAGAATATGAAAGTTTCTCAACATCATGCTGACACTCAAAAAGTTTCAGATTTAGGAGCACTTCAGATTCAGATCCAATTGTGGATGTTCAGTCTGACTAGTTTACAACCTCATAGACAAGGTGAAGTTAGTCAAAGCTTAGTTCACACCCTCTCTGATTTGTCATAATTGTTGAATCACTGGATTAAAAATTGTGAATCTTTCATGAATCCATCAAAATATTTTCCTCATGACTGTGATCCTTATGTATAATTAATGTATTTGACTTCAACATCACGACATTTTACTTCCCAATAATTCCCTTTATGTATATCATGAGGTTCTGGAGGATTTTTGGTAAGTCCACCTCTCATTTCTTATTAGTTATTCAAATTAGAAGACCTAAGGAAGCAGCGACTCGAGGACTTGGCCACTCTCATTCAGAAGATTTATCGGGGGTGGAAATGCCGCACACACTTCCTGCTCATGAAAAAGAGCCAAATTGTGATTGCTGCATGGTACAGGAGATTCGCGGTAAGAGTCTCTGTAATCTGACATAATAATACTGATTTGCCAACATTTCTTATGTACTTACTGTGTATATAATGTTTATGTATTTTATTTTCCCCTACAAAGATGAGAAAACTCATCTAGTTACTAGTAAGTAACTTGCTCATGGCCACATAACCACTAGTGGAGCGTTAAATTTGAGTCTAAGACAGTTTCAAAGTTCAGGTTTGGTATTCCACACTGATTTCGATGTAGGTAGCAGAGAATTTACATCTTTCATTTAGTCATTACATTAGAAGAGACAGTGTCATTTAACCATTTCAGTATGATTGGGTCAGTTTTCCAAAACAACTGTCTCTTGTTTTTATTGTAGGAACTTTGAAGATAGCTTTAATTCCAGAAAGCCAAAGCTATGTTTTAGTTATGGTTTAATTCTAGGTTTGGTTAAAGGATTGGATTTCTTTTGTCCTCAGCTTTCTGGCCTTATTGACTATTAAGTTTATTTAATTAATGTGGAATTTCTTTTTTGGAACTTTATCACTTGATTGTAATTGTTTTGTTGGAGACATTCCACAGGTTTGAGAGAGGGCTGCAGGTTTGCGTGTATCCTGGCTTGAACTTGGGTTGTGTTCTTGCAAAATGAATTGTAGATTTTTAAAAAATACTACTTCCAAATATTTTTTATTCTACGCTTCTTTACTAGAGTGGAAAATGAATTAAATGTGCAATCAAATCTTCTTTTCAGCTATAGAGAAGTCTGGTGGCAATAGTCAAGTAATTTATGTTGACTTACTCTTATGTAATACATTTTAGTGCATTATTTCCAAGTTTTGGAAATTAGTGAGGCACTTAAATGATTAAACAAAATGCGCTTTATCTTTAAAAGGGTATCTTTTAAATTGCTTTCTCTAGTTAAAAGACAACATCCAGCAGTATAAGTTTACGTTATAAACGTATCCACCCATGTGATAGATTTGTTCACGTCCATTTTGCAAGGCATGAAGGACTGTTGTCACCTAGCCCCGTGGCAGTGCATTCTCCTCTGCACATAGCAGTGCTATGTAACTACAGATTTATAATGCTGTTTCTGTTTGTCTGAGCAAGGGGGGTACCAACCAGTAGCCATTTCTTATTTTGAGGTCATTAAGTAAATCCAAGCTTAAGAGGGTTCTGAATTCATTTTATATTATACAAGTAGTTCTGAAATATGTACTGTGCCAGGCTCTGGGAACAGCAGGTGGACACAACAACCTAGTTCCTAACTTGGTGAAGTTTATTTCTAATATGTGATAATAGCCATTTAAGCAAATAAATAATCAGAGCAACTGCAGATTGTCGCAAGTTCTAGGATGAAAATCGAGAACTGAGAAAGTACAACAGGGAGACCACATGTAACTTTAGATAGGCTGAGGAAGGAGGACCTCCTGAGAGGCCCAACTGACCAGGATGACAAGAGTAAGCAGACAACGCAAAGAACCAGGATCAGCAAATACAGTCTGCACTCTCACTCCCAGTACAGAACTTTTATATCACTGGATGAAAAAAACACACCGCATATCATTAATTCACAGTGGTGGGAGTTAGGAGCAATATGAATTTGTGGAATGGAGACAAATGATGGCCCAATTTTTAGTGGAAGCTTTGACTTTGCTCTAGTGTTCTATCTGTTTCAACTTTGAGCTGAATACCTCAGCCAGTTAACCATGTATCCTTCAAGGCAGTGATTAAACTCAGTGTTTCCTCGCATGCAGATTGCTCAAGATTTCCTGATTGTTTTCAGTTACGGATTGTTGGTAAATTATTTCATATTCCCTGATATGTTGTAGCTCCTTAGATAAATTTTAAAGTGAGGTATAGTTATTTTCAGGATATTTAAGAATTAAAAGATGAGCAATCAAGTGCTTCTGAAGTGAAAGATTAACACCATGACTTAGTGTTTTGAAATGCTTTGAATGTTCATTAGAGCTGTGCATGGTCCAACCTATATTTAAAAACAATGACTATAAATTCTTACTCTCTAAGGGAGAGTGTTCCAGCTTCAGTCTGTGAGGCTTCAGCCCTATGATAAGGCCTTTGGGTATTGAGCTGTTGCCAAACGCATGGATTCTTAACTGAATCTTTTTAACCGTGTCCACCTAGCAGGAGCCTCTGCTGCTCTGAGCCAGCCTGTTGAGCTTTCCACTGTTTATCCTTTATGTCATTGACTGTGTCCTCTGCCAGTTCTTGAAGGCAAGGTTAGAGTCAGACTCACATTTATACCTCCATGGTTCTATTACAGTGGGCTCTCTATGTAAATGTTTAGTCAGTTGATACCAGCTTACTGAAATTTCTACCTGATTTCTCAGCTTAAAGCAGAGTTAAAACAGCAAACCTAAAAGGAACTGGGGATGTTTGAGGTGAGATCAGTAAGTTAGTTGCATGGTGAGAAATGACACCAAGAAAAGCAGTGCAGACCTCAGTGCATATTCATTCAGACCTTTTGGAGTATCAGCAGTGTGTGAGACTCTGTGTTGTAACTATGTGACACAAAAAACAAATGGCGATAATGATGGGTCCTGAGCCACTTGGAAGTTATATTTATCATCCTTGATGTGAACTTTGGATTTACTGTAATAGTTTTGCAGTTTGATATTTTGGTTTCTTCACATGTTGGCTTGCAGAAGTGTGAATGATCAAGTCCATTTCACTAAGTGAGCAAATACTCTTTTTCAGTCTTTGCATTGTCCACATTACAGATATGCAAATACAACTGCTAATACCTTCCCCTTTTGTCCTGCAGCAACAAAAAAGGTATCAGCAGATAAAGAGTTCTACCTTGGTAATTCAGTCTTATATCCGGGGTTGGAAGGTGAGTTTAAAAGAAGTACGCTCCATTTATTTGTGGGTTTTGGGTTCTTCACAAAGGATGATGTCTTTAGTCTCACTCTTTCTGGTGTCCTGCCTGCCCTGTAAGCAGTCAGATGGAAAGGGTAAATATTGTGGATCAAGTGGGGGTACCAGTGACTGTGTCTTGGCTGCTTCCTTCTAATGCGCTTTCTTTTTGGGAGCTTTGTTCCCTAAGCAGGAAGTCCTTGAAATAATACTATACATGATCTCAATATTCCCTTTCCCTATGGTTTTGAGAGAAACTGCAGTCCAAAATGCTGTCTTACAGCTATTGCTTCCCTGCCCATGGGTCCTGCACCCTCAGCCTAACAACTTCATGACCTTCCAGTGACCATCTTGCAGGCTGTCCCACAATGAATGGAAGATCCTGAGCTGTGGCCAGGTTTAGTGGTAGAAAAGTGAGGGTTCAGTGAGTGACCTGGTTCTGTCTGGGTCCTGTATGCCAGGGCTTGGTTCTGGGGTCAGTGAACTATGACCAATGGGCCGAATACATCCTGCAAGTCAAAATTGGTTTTTATATTTTTAAACTGTTGTTAACAAAAAGCAAGAGAAGAGAATTCATGACATGAAAAATTTATGAAATATAGGTTTTAGTATCCATAAATGAAGATTTATTGGAACACAACCATATTCATTTACTTCACAGAGTGTCTGGCTGCTCTGGTGCTACAATGATAGAGGCCATGCGACCTCAAAAGCCAAAAGTAGTCACAATCTGGCTCTTGACAGAAAGAGTTTATTTACCCCTCTTCTCCCAGCCCAGGGCCTCTTCTCATTTGCGGAGTGGTCTGGATCCAGAGATGGTACTTTGAGGTTGGGCCCAGGCTTAGAGCCCCTTCAGAGGGTACAGTGTGAACCACAAGTCCAGCAGTTTGGGTTGACCTTTGTCTAGGCTCTGGCCAGCCAGAGGGTTTAGTTGTCCCACAGCAAATATCCAAGGGCAAACCTGAGCACACAGAGTAAGTGAAACTGCTGCCTACAGGTTCTCCCCTGACCTCATTCCAGACCCTGGGGCCAACCTATAAGGTAGAGACTTCAAGGTAGGCCCTAAGTCCACCTCCAAACCAGATGTTTTCTTGACTCCTATTAAAGTCAATTCCCAAGAATTTTTGGAAAGAAACCACTGATTTTGAACCGGTGTGATCATTTTTTTAGCAAAATAGTTAAAAATCTCTTTTGAATAAAACGGACAGCTACAGTTATATTCCAGAGAGTAATAGGAAAAGAGCTGCAGTGGTCTTTGGCAATTCATTGCAGATGCTCCAACCATGTTCTGAGAATTGTTTGTCCCCCAAATGTTGTGTTGCTGTGGTCAAATTTTTCCCTGTTGCTTATCAGGACAGCTGACAGCTGTTCTCCTCATCTGGGTGGGGTTACCTATCATGCCCATGATGTCTTCATGGTCTTTGCCTTGGTCATTTGCAGTTTTTCCTTTCTTTAATCTGTTGATGTTTCTCTAGAGCATGGGTGCTGGGGCTTCTCTCTTCTAGTATTTTTTCCTAATTGGTGTAATTTTTTTCTTAACATTTCCTTTTTTGGGTGATTCTGTACCATAGGCTCGAAAAATCTTGCGGGAGCTGAAGCATCAGAAGCGCTGTAAGGAAGCAGCCACGACCATTGCAGCTTACTGGCATGGTACCCAGGTAGGCCAGTGACCCTGAGCAAGGCAGTGAGTCAGAAGTGACTCAAGGCACCATGGACCTTCAGACTCAGGGGCAGAAAATGTTTCACTGGCTTAAGCTACTGAGCACGCATTTGCCTCTTGCTCTTTCCAACATTTTGGTGTGGGGTGGTGGCACACGCTTTTGTGTTTACCATTTGGTGGTGAATGGTGTCTTTCTTTTTTTCTCCATTTGGAAGCAACAGTAACCTTTCTTGCCTTAAACTTTTCTGTCACTCCTTTTCAAATGCATCACAGGCACGAAGGGAACTGAGACGGCTGAAGGAGGAGGCTAGGAATAAACATGCTATTGCAGTTATTTGGGCTTACTGGCTTGGATCTAAGGTATTGGTGCACACGTTCCATCACTTCACCTTGCAGTTCTGCAGTAACTAATCCTCACCTCTAGCATATGAGGGATGAATACTTAGTGGCTCACCCTGGTGCATGGCCTACCAGCCAGATTGAATAAACCTGGAGATGTCAGTGTCAGTAGTGTGCATAGGTAGCTTAGCTATGTATAGACCAAAAAACTTAATTGCTTACTAATCGGGCTCTAGTACAGTTGCTCTTTTTAAAACTCTTCAGTAAACTACATTTCATGTTTAGTTTCTTTTTTTCCCCAACTTCCATATGCTGGCAGTTTTGTATTTTTATGAAGGTGGGGCATATTGGGAGTGTTAAGATTTGGGCTTGAATCTGTCTTCTGAAGCAGTATGTTGACAATGGAAGCACCTTTAACACATACATAAAAAAGCATAATCCTTGAATGAAATTGTGTTTTTAGGCTGACTGTGTCAGTTATTGAGTATTACCAACAAAATATTACATGTGAAAAGGATTATCATTGTGATTTCACTGAAAACTATGTTTATGCAAAGCTAGCTGTAATTGCCACCAGAAAATTCTAGGAATTTCTCTTCAGAAACAGAAGCCTCCTGAAATACTCTCGGAATCCCCAGGCGTAGTCGTGGGCTCTGTGAACATTTCACATACCTCTAGGGACAAGAGTTTTTACTTAGAAAACCAAAGGTCATCTTTGCTAAAAATGTGTCTTCCAGTTAGGAACACAAATAACTACAGAGTCCTGTGTGTTTAGGTCTATCTTGTCAATGTTGTAAGCCCATCTTGTGAGAAAAATAAGGTCAGCCCCTTTGCTGGCATAAAGAACTTAATTTGCTGAAGTGAACCAAAGTTGTTTACGTGTGTTTTTCCTAAAAATCTGTGAAAACCAGATTTCTTAAGTCAACTGAGCGAAATGTCCCGCCAGAGAACTCTGAGGTTATTGCTAAGATTTCCCCATTAGGCTTATTTCCTAGTCTCAATACTATAAAATCTTGAAAAGTTAATGCCTATTTCTGTCCTTTTAACATTGCATGCCTAAGATTAATTTTTCCTGAGAGTAATTTTTAAGCCTTTAAATTGTTTCACTTTTTGTCTTGTTTTAGTCTTTAGTATATTTCACCGTTTGGGACCTTAGCTAAAATTAATTTTTTTGGCAGAGCCTTGTGAATGTTAGGCAAGCAGTCTACCACTGACCTGTAATGCCAGTGAAATTTATTATGTATACATTGCCCCACTTCTAGTTTTGTTGTTTTTTTTTTTTTTTTTTTTAAACTGGAATGAAGTTTGGAGTTCTGCTACTTTCACTTTTTGTTTGCACTTCAGAAAGGCAACCTGTATGCCTTTCAGTTTTTCAGATGGTTGTTCACAGGGCTATCTTTTTATTCATCCTAGTGAATGATCTCAGAGAGGCTTGTTGCCTCTTCAGCCCCCTGTACTGTCAGCAAAGGGAAGTCTAGTGAAATCATTTTAAGTGTACTCTGTTCTAAGCCTTTGATAAGGGGAATTGAGAGAATGTGGGGGGACAAAAACAGGTGAAGAGGCAGAAAGAACAGGAACAGGGGAGACAAAAAGGAAAGAGTGTAAGCGAGGGGTGGGGGTAATCACTTGGGTGCCACACACATTGCCCTTCTCTGGAGCACTGGAAATACCAGCAACTGTACCAGCTTGACACTGATTTCTTGGGTTGAAATGCATACACACTGTGCCTCTGTCATTCTGAAATCAGCTTTTCTGTTTGGTGGGGTATCTTTTTCTGGTCATTGTGCTGCCTGCATTGGGCTGTCTCTTTTATTTACTATCTAAAACATTCTAGGCTCGAAGGGAGTTGAAACGCTTGAAGGAAGAGGCTAGGCGTAAGCATGCAGTTGCTGTCATTTGGGCTTACTGGCTTGGACTGAAGGTACTTCCTCCACTTCTTCCTGCCCAGGGTGAACTCCATAAAGCCTATCACCTACTAACCCGAAAAAATTACTGATGATGCTTGCTGATAGTCTGCACAGGCTGATAAAATGTCAGCTTGCCTAATTATGTTTGTTTTTGAGAAAAAAAAATCTGTACACTAATATTTTCTGATTTTAATTTCTTTAAATCAAGGGTTAAAGTAGATAGTAATGTAACATATACCCAAGATACTTTGTTATCAGAGTTCTACTTTGTGTTACCTTTAAGAGCTTAATTTATTTTTCTTTAATCATGAAACAGACTACAGTCATTGAACTAGAAACTGACTTACCATCCACAGTACTAGCTTGGGGATGATGGGTTTATTTCCTTTGATCGGCTATCCTGCTCCTCTGCTGGCTGCCCAAAGTCAAGTTTTCTTCACAGTGACCATTGTTCTAATTGTTTAGCACAGACACCAAAGCATTTTTTGTGAGTAAACTTACAGATTTTGATGAATGAAATGACAGTCAGAGATCAGTGGCTCATTCATGTAAAGAGAACTTTAAATTCATCTACCTTGTGATTAGGTCAGTTTTTATTTCATAGTGGTAATTACTATTGTACAAAAGGTACACACAGTTAATAAGACTGAGCTCTGAAGACCTTCAGGCAATATAAAGATTTGGTCTTCCTAACATTCAATAACTAATATCCGTGGTAAACTATCTACATTGCCTTTTTTGGAATAATTACCCTCTTTTTTCACACTATTCCTCTCATTATTTTTACTTTAATATGATACCATTCCATTTCATTCTAAATATTTGAATATTAAACGGAAAATCATTGACTCTGAATCTGAACAGCCCTTGAAGTATCTCTGAATACTGTCTGAACAATCTCCATTTTCTGAATGTTCTGCATACAAACTTTTAGAAATTTATCCTTTTTGATTATACTGAGTATTTTTAAAGTAATTTTTGAAGTAATTAAAAAGTAACTTAAATATTAATTTAACAGATGTTCTATTTGAAGAATTCTGAACAAGCTCTGTAATTGCTTCTTTTAGAAGTCAAACAAACACTAAACATTTTCCTGTTTTATTCACATCTTCTAATTTGCATTCTAATTTTCATAAAAGGAAGGAAATAAAGCAACATTGAGTCAGGATTTTTACTCTCTGGAATAATTTCTATCTGTAATATGGTTTGTCTTCAGTTTTCTGGGTTTAATTGCATTATGATTTCAAAATATTTTTGCATTAGAGGTGTGCAGTAGTAGCCTGAAAAACAAATGTAGCTTGTAGGTGAATGTTTTATCAGAAGTTAACAGGGTTTACTCTGGCTATAAAGTCCTCCCCACCCCATTCTAACAAGGTAGAAGTATTTTAATGTTTCCACTATTATTGTTATGAAATAAGACTAAACTTATTGGGAGCCCAAGAATTATAATTGTGTCCTTTTTTTTCTTAAAAGCAAGTTATATTGCTATGAGCAATAGTTTGCCCTTTGAAATGATTTTTCTTATGGATATGATTACAAAGTACACTGGATCCTTTTAGGATTCCTGGTGCCCAAGAGAGGTCCCATTTTAGATGCCAGTATCTTGCCTGGTTTTTACTGTCTGTGCCTGTATTCTGGGAGTTATAACCTGTCCTGTGGGATATCAAACAGCATACTAAAATGAGATCACACATAAGGAGATTCAGCTACATGTAGTAGGAGGACTTCTGTGTGTTTAAAGATATGTTCTAATGTAATTTGATGTCCTTAATTCTCTGTTTTCCTGTGCTGTTACAGTTTCAGGAGTCAATTCACAGATACCAGTCTTTTTTCCATGTCCCTTCTACCCTTATAAGTTGGAGGTTTGAAATGCTTGTGAATCTTAACAATTTCATGGCTAAAAGAGAAATGATAACTAGAATATAGATAAAAGGAAGAACTGCCTATATGGTACATGGCAAATATTTTAAACTTTAATAATTCTCTGGTATATAGAATGGGTCTGGGACTCAAATGCCCAGAGGGACCAGGCAAGTGGCACAGATGTAAGAAGCAGCAGGTGACTTACAAGCATGCATGTTCCTTCAACAGTGGCTCCTCTGTTCTACCAGGTCCTTGTCCTGTACAAATGGGGCTCACTGTTGCTAGAGCTTAGAAAATGTTAAGAGAAACCTACAGTCTGAGTTATTATGTGATGCTGTTAACTTAAAGATATACATATAAAACATTTATCTACAAAAAGATTTGATTAAAAAGTTGCTAGCTTATAACCCCTAACGTAGAAATATTTTGAATATGTACATTAAAATCCAGAAACCTGAGGCAAAAGAAAAAGATACATAATGTCTGAATTATTCAAATAGGCTAACATTTTGCTAATTTCTATTTCTTCCATTTATATCTGGATGATAATAAACATTTTTAAATATTTCCCTTCTACTTCAAAATTTAACTGAGTCATTCATTAATTCTTTCAGCAAACACTTCATTTATTTGCTTTTATTTTTCATCCATAGTATATGTAGTAAATTATGACAGTGTAGCAGGGGAAAAAAGTGTGAACTAAAACCATATAATCTCTTAAGTGTTATGATACATTAAGTTAAAGTTTGATGGGAATAACATGAGAGAAAATTTAGTGCGATGAACTGGGGATGGAGTGTAATAGTTTAAAAGCTTCTTTTTGAGTTCTTATATTTAGCAACATTCAGTTCTCAGTGTACAGTATTAATGTCCTATCTTTATATGCAAGATTTTTAGAAAGTTCTTCAGACTTTTTTTTTTTTTACCATTTATACAACAATCTGAAACAAAAATTACCTTATGTAATGACTTTCTGAAGTGCATTTTAATTTATCACAAGTTTGTAGCTGTTCCTAGAAAATGTTTCTCATTACATCCTCAGGTTTTTTAAAAAACAACTATCAGGATTTAAGCCATTTGTTCATTTTGATACTATCATTTTGCATCTCTTAGTTTTTTTTTTCTCTGACTTAAGATACACTGTCTTTGAGTGTGCCTCAGTTAGTTAATTCAGTCCAGAAAGACACTTGTAAATATACTTGTTCCATATATTCTCATTTTTTAAAGAGGTTTATCATTGTGGGCATGTGCCAGCCACGCTCTTAACCATTAACCTGCTTCTTTTTAAAGGTACGCAGGGAGTATAGGAAATTCTTTAGAGCAAATGCTGGGAAGAAAATCTACGAGTTTACACTTCAGAGACTTGTAAGTTGACACTTTACATGTATGGATAATTAACATTACTAAGTTAGCTACTCAATAGGACCAACTCACTCAAATAGCAGAGCACTTGCCTAGCAAGCACAAGACCCTGAGTTCAAGCCCCAGTACCACCAAAAAAGAACAAGGAAAAATAAAAAAAGGACCAACTCTATACAATGTCATTTTTTAAAATTGGACAGTAATTTTTTATAGTGATTAAATCATAACTACAACAGAGAGTTAGTATCATCTCCCCCCAAACTCAGGTAGAATTGTTTCACAAAGAGTTTTTAGTTGCCTGTATATGATTAATAAAATGTTAGTCTCATTTAACAGAACAAACACTTTGGAGCCAGGCATCAGTGGCTCACATCTGTAATCCTAGCTACTCAGAGGCAGAGGTCAGGAGACAGTTCGAAGCCAGCCTGGGCAAGTAGTTCAAGAGACCCTGTCTCAAAAATACCCAACACAAAAAAGGGCTGGCAGAGTGGTCAAGTGGTAGAGCACCTGCCTAGCAAGCAAGCATGAGTCCTTGAGTGCAAGCCCCAATACTGCCAAAAAAAAAACTTTTGGAGAAAGTGAACCCACAAAAGCCAGATTCTTGCCCTATAAACTGCTATGAACTGTAGCTGGGCAGGGGTGGCAAACAAGTTAGTGGGGAGAGGGTTCACTGCTAGATTCTGGTGTTGCTCTCTGCTTTTAGAGAGGAGGTATGTGTAGTGGTAAAAGAGTGCAAATGCAGGACCAAGCCTGCACTGCTGCTGTGTGACTTGAGCAAGTAACTTAACTTTACAGATGTCATTTGGTCATCTGTAAAATGGGAATAATAATAGCACTAGCATCAGAGTTGTTGTGAGGATTGAAGTGGAACATTGATGTAGAGCTTAGGCAAGGACTGCCTACACATATTTAAGCCCAGATACTTTTCAACTAATGATGGAATTACATCCCAGTAAACCAGTCATGAGTTGAAACTATCATGCAAGAATGCAAGAATGCATTTAATACACTTAAACCTATCAGTCGTGATGGCTTATCAACACAGACTACTGTAGAGTAACAGTTGATTATCCTCCTGATCACATGTTTGTCTGGGCACTGCACTCCACGACCCACCCGGCATCTCAATAGAACATCATACTTCATATCGCTAGCCCAAGGAAAGATCAAAATGCACAGTGTGGTTCTACTGGATGTGTAGTGATTTTACACCATTGTAAAGCCAAAGTCTCCTAAGTCGAACTAACGTAAGCCAGGAACAACCTTTCTGCAGTGGTGAACATGTTCTAGAGCTTAGGGATGCAAGAAAGTAACCACTAGCCGCTGTAATTATTGAGCACTTGAAATACGTAACCAGGTATGACTTAAGATCTGGATTTTTTTTTAATTTTAATTTCCTAAAATTTAAATATAAAAAGCCACGTACAACTGTATTGGGCAGTACAGTTCTATAGTGTTAGCCAGTTGGCGTGAGTATTGATATTAGTGTTGTGCTTTTATGTTAATCACTTCCCCAGCCAGCGGAAAGAGTAGAATAGTTACAAAGCTTTTATGGACAAAACTGGATAAATTCTGCTACAGACTATGGTTTTGTTGATTTCATTTAATACTTTCTGTCAAACCCAACACAGGTACAAAAATACTTGCTGGAAATGAAAAATAAGATGCCTTCCTTATCGCCAATAGACAAGAATTGGCCATCAAGACCGTACCTGTTCTTGGATTCAACTCATAAGGAGCTAAAAAGGATTTTCCACTTGTGGAGGGTAAAAAATGTTACATTTTTTTCAGAGATGTCTCATCATATATTTTGAGTTTTGAGAGCTGTTATGTAAAATCAGATTTGAAGCACATTCTTCCTTTGCACTTGATTTTCTGTGAGGAATCTTGCGGCAGCAAGGCATTGACTGTAGCATCTTCTCAGCTGTGGTGGAAAAGTGGCTTTAGGGTGGTACTTCTGGCTCTGATGATTTCAAGTAGCTCAGTTTTGTTTTCTTGTTTTTCTCTTTTTCTGAACGAATATTGCAGGATTATTCATGCATAAAATTTGAATGTCTTTAGATAAGGTAGTTAAGTCCTACAAGTTGTATGCATTTACTTTATCAGATTTATTGAACACATACACAGATACACATAAAAATACATGCACTATGATGGACTGGAAAAAAAAAGCATTAAAGTCCCTGAAAGACAGAATTCCTTCTTCCTGAAATAAAGGAAAGCTGAAAATCTATTTCACATTGCCCTATATTTTAGCAGTTTTATATTAGAGCCTAGCCTGAAACTCAGGTTTTGGGGCAGACAGGATAGTTTTTAATAGATGTTGACTTTATTTGACTAATTTAATTGGTAGTTGTGTGTAGTTCTTAGATGTAATAGTCATTTGGTAAAAGAATGACCACTGATTATATCTTGGCAGCTCTTTTCTGTCCAGTAGTGTGGATTCATTCACTGTGTATCAGAATCACACATGTAAGAATGATAGCATCATTAAGGAGTGTAATGACTAGTGCCAGCCGCACATGTTGAATTGGATTCTGATTTCTGTTCCATAACAGATTTAACAACCTTTCAGTTGTTCATCTCTCCCTGTGAGTCTGACAGCAGAGAGCTTCTGGTGCTGGGGTTTGCTCTGCCTCTGCTCTTCCCTGGCTTAGGAACCTCACTCTTACGTGCTTGGGTGCAAATGCTCTTTACTCCTGAAGGGAGCCTTTCCTTAAGGAGAGTCAGCAGCAGTGCTTGCATTTCTTCATGAAGTTATTTTGGGGATGGTGTTCAAAGCCACTGTCTTTGAACTAATGTCTTGGACTGTTCCTCTGAAAACTCTGTCTCTGCTCTCTGGCCATCCATTTCCTTTCAAGGCACCCTCAGAGTCAAAGTGAAGAGATTGCTCTGGTTTCCCATTCACATTGTAAAGTAGTGGGAGAATTTGGAGTAGTGTTTTTCAAACTGTTGGTCACAGTATATTTGTGGGTCATGAAATCAGTTTAGTAGATTACTACCAGCATTTTAAAGTACAAAACAGTAGAATAGAAAATAGAGTACATGACATGTGGAAAGATTAAGTATCGTTTATTGAACCTTTTGAGTGAGTTTGTGTTAAATGTGTGCATTCGCTTGTGATGCAGTGTTCTTTACTGTGGGTTTATTAAAGACTGAGACAGCCTTGTGGCTAGAGCATCCTTAGGACTGACATCATACCAGGAAGAACCCATACTTCTCACAGGGTGCATGCAGCCTCAGCCCTAGTGTGCTGTAAAGAAACTTCCCAAATTCTGCAATATAAGTAATCATTTTTATGACTTTTTTTCAAGATCAGCTTTTTAAAACAAGGGGAAGATGGGCCTTGTAAGTAATGTTTGTACACTTCCACTCTTACTCTTACTGCTATTAAATTGGCTTAGCATGTTTAAGAATGAGTACAGATTTATTTATACAAGTGATTTTTTTGTCTCTGTTCTCCTATCTCACAGTGTAAAAAATACAGGGACCAATTCACAGACCAGCAGAAACTTATTTACGAAGAGAAACTAGAAGCCAGTGAACTCTTCAAAGACAAGAAGGCTTTATACCCATCTAGGTATCATGGTTTTGCTTTACTCATAATTGCTAGTGTTTTAAATGTTTTCTTTGCTAGTGGAGTTTGATTTTAGTAATGGATGAATGATTTTTAATTTTGTGAATCATTTTATAATCAGCTCGATATGAATACACATAACCACCCTTGAGCAGTGGCTTCTGTAATGTATTTAAAAATGAAATGAGATTATAGTTGGTTTTTTTTTGTTCCATCACCATTAGCTTGAGCCCTTCACTAAATAATTAGAAGTCATGTAAAATAAAAATTATATAGGCTATTAAGAGCAATCTGCATTGTACTTTCCTGTTTTCAAGTATCTTTTTTGCAATATACTGTAATCACTGCTCCAATCTTCCTGTCCTAACAAGCCAGATCAGAAACTCATTTCTAAGTCAGTGAAAGTGGGACAAATATTGCTCTTCCTTGTTGATTAAGCATGGGCTCAAAGTGTCATTTAGCCTGCTAATTCATTGGTCATGACTTCAGCGGCCTGTGCAAGTTCATTTCCTTTATTATGGACAACATGTTTTCAGGAAAAGAAAAAAAAGTTACAAGTTTAGCAAGTTAAGTCTTGGTTAAAGACTGTTTCTCTGAGTATTTGTACCTATCCTGCATTCATCATTTCTCTCCCACAATTACTATCCCTTTTTTTATTTGGTATTTATTTTTTAAAAAGTACATTGTATGATCTCAAACCAAAATCTTCTGTAACAACTTTAGCTTCTCCTAATGAATGTTCTAGAAATGAAAGTATTATACACTAGGTAAGTTTCCAATGTATTTCATATATTTATATGTCTCTGTCTTTATGTATACATGTGAAAGCTCTTCTTTTTAAAGGATCAGATGAATATATGATGCTGCCAGGCTCATTGGATTCAAGTATTTTAAATTGCAGTTTCCTTGGGTAACTGATTTTGCTTCCTAAGGTGGTATGTACTCCCTTAAGTCAGACACACTTACTAAATGCAAAATTGCCCAAAATGCCTGCCATATGAAACATACGCAAATCTTTTCTTCAGCAACTAACCATTCGACTTTTTTTTCATAGTTTCTTAAATTAGAGCATAACCTTCATAAGCATTTCCTATAGATAACTCTTCAGAAACTAGAGGCTGGAGAATACATTTCTGAGAAAAATAACTAAAAGGTTCTAAGCACTTTTTATTATTATAAATATGCTTGAATGAACACAAAAAGAGTTCTTGTGGGGTAGTTTTATCAGTTTTCTGAGTTGTGGCACCCTCACTCCCCAGCAGTGGGAGATGTGGAATAATTTGCTCTTCGACCACTCTGTGAAGCAGCAGCTCCTATGGGCGTCGTTGGCTTTTATATCTTAGGAGCTGTGAAGCATTGACCACCTACGTGGATTTTTCTTCCCTGATCCTCCACCCACAGCACAAGCATTTCAAGTCCTGTGTGCACATTGCCAGAACTCAGTAACTCAAAATGAAGCTTGCAGATGGTTGAAGCAGCAGTTATTTTGTTGTTGTTTTCTTGGTGTCTTTAAAGAAACTGCCCTGAGTCAACCCACCATCTTTAGTGACCTATGCATGATACATCTTTTGCCAGAAGCAATTTGTTTGAAAACTGCTCTGACTTTACATGTGTGCTTGGCCACGCCTGTCAGCCTAAAGGCATGTCCTATGAAGGGAGCTTGAATCTCCTTGCATGGGTTGCCTACTTTAAACTAGAGTTCCATGGTGATAGTAAGTGCCATCTAGTTTTGTTCTAAAGTGATTGCCTACATCCCTTTCTCCCCAGAAGGCTTATTGATTTTCCTGTTTTCTGCAAGGAAATGAAATTTTTCTTTGGAACAGGTGATGGTAATGATTTCAGCTCTTTTTTCATTGCCACATACATACTGTTTAAAGGCGTTAGTAAATCCTTGGTGGTCAGCTGTTAACTTTATATTAATAGATTAGAAGAAATTGCCTTTTCCTTCACATGAATCTGTGTTCTTGAGTCTTACTGTCATTAGTAACTTCTATCCTGATTGTTCTATGTGACAAGATTTTTATCAAAGTCCTACTGACTAGATGCCATGATCCTATCAAAAATATATTTGAAATAGGTTTAAGGTTTCATTTCCAACTTATATTCAAGACAGGTATATGTGTAATATATAAAACAAATTGAAATAACTTTTCATGAAGTTATCAGCTACACCTTAGAACCAACTGACTTGTTTCTTTTGGCCAGTGGCACTTCTACTTGAAACTATTTCTTATGTGCTGGAATTTTTTTCTTATTTAGTGTTGGGCAGCCATTCCAAGGAGCTTACCTGGAAATCAATAAGAACCCTAAGTATAAGAAACTCAAAGATGCCATTGAAGAAAAGATCATCATTGCTGAAGTTGTGAACAAAATTAACCGTGCTAATGGGAAGGTAAAAATGCTGACCTTTTGCTGAGCACTAGCGCTCATGCCTGTAATCCTAGCTACATAAGAGGCAGGGATTAGGAGGATCATGGTTCAAAGCCAGCCTGGGCAAATAGTTCACGAGACCCTATCTCAAAAAACCCTTTACAAAAAAGGGCTGGTGGAGTGGCTTAAGGTGTATTCCCTGAGTTAAAAACCCTTGTAGTGGGGAAAAAAAAATGCTAACCTTGAAGACTGGATCAGTTAACACAGTCATCTGAATATTAAAATTTGACTTTTATAATCTCAGTAGAATTAACTGTGAAGGAGTCAGTTTCACCTCACATTTCTGAAAATAAGTATAATGTTCAACTTCTGGGCCACTTTGGAATATTTTTAATCATTGTGTTTTACATGCTTTTTTGTTTTGTTTTAGAGTACATCCCGGATTTTCCTCTTAACAAATAATAATCTTCTTCTTGCTGACCAAAAGTCTGGACAAATCAAGTTAGAGGTTCCCCTGGTAGATGTGACCAAGGTATCAATGAGCTCACAGAATGATGGCTTCTTCGCTGTCCACCTCAAGGAGGTAAAAGTTCACCTAGTAACTTGACTGAAAGGTTTCTCCATTTGTCCAGTTTCTGAGCCATTGATTTAAAAATCTCCCTGTCTGACTAGTCCTGTGCCTGAAGTCCTTACTAATTTGCAAATTTTGGCTATATTCACCAATATGGAAAATCTCAGGCTTTATTTTTCAGTAATTGAATAAAATTAATCACTTTTATTGACTTGTTTGCTTAACTTTTTGAGAGTAATACTTAGAAATACAAAGATGTTTCAAATTATATCTCTTCCTGTTGTTTCTTTTACTACCAACTTAGCAAATGTCTTCTTGTTTATCTTGGTGATTTTTATCAAAGAATAGTAAAACAGTTGTCTGATTTTGACCTAAAGAAGTTTTAATGTTCTCTGCTTTTAGCTTAACCAGGACCTCTGGTTTGAATGGAGTGGTTGAAGTGTAGGTGCTATGATGTCTGTGGCCACATCATTTAATTTCCATGTGCCACTCTCAGTGTCTTTCATCTTTTAACATGGGAATGACAGTTGTACACACTTCATGACCTGGATAAAGATTAAATGAGAACACTGTACATAAAGTGCTCAGCACAGTGCCTGTCACATAAACACCATTCTCAAATAAACAACTTTTAGCAAAAGTTGTTTTGGGGACCTGCACCTAGCTGTTATTGCTACCGTCTGACTGACTCTGAAAAACAACAAAATCCCTTAGCCTTTTTTCTCCATCATGGATCCTAAGCTCAAGGGCATATCAAGTCGTAGACAGTAATTCTCAACTCAATTACACAGTAAAACAGTCTCTGAGATCTTTTTGTGTATGTGTTACTGGGGACTGAATCCAGGACCTCATGTTTGCCAGGCAGGTGCTCTATTGCTTGAGCCACACCCACAGTTTGGGAGCTTTAAGAAATGCTGATGTTTGGGCTATATCCCCGTCTAGTCAAATTGGGATTTCTTGGCATGGAGTATAGCATCCTATTTTTTTGAAAATTCCCCCAAATGATTCCCTTGTATGGCTAAGGTCAAGAGCCACTGTCCAAGGATATTTGTTAGAAGTGTTATAGTTGTTTTTTTTGTATTAATCAGATCACTGAGGAGTTTTTTGAACAGCATAGGTTAGTGCTTCTTGAACCTGAATGTACAAAATCATGGTCCAGCAATCTCAGCAATCTTGCTGTGGATTCTTACTCAGTGAGCCTGCATATAGCCTGAGACATTGCTTTTCTAACAAGCTCCCAGATGATGTGGATGCTGCTTCTGGTTCATTAGCCAACTTTGGGTAGCAAGGGGTTTGGGTAACCCTAAAACTCTCTAGCAAGTTGAAAAAGCACGGCTCTTGGCATAACTGTTTCCTGTAGGAGGAGAGGCTCTGGTATCTGTTGTTTTAAGGAGACTCTAAATATGTTTTTAGCCAATCCTATAAACACTCAACTGTTTATAATTATGGTTGTCTGACTCTTGACTTGTCATTGCAGGGTTCAGAAGCAGCCAGTAAAGGTGATTTTCTCTTCAGCAGCGACCACCTGATTGAAATGGCCACCAAGCTCTATCGCACAACTCTCAGCCAAACCAAACAGAAGCTCAATATTGAAATTTCCGATGAGTATGTTTATGTATTGTTCAATCTACCATTTCACTTTCACCTGATCTCATTTATTAATGCAGCAATTACTTTTTCTGCACTGAGTCTGTGGCTAGTATTTGAGATGGATGAAGGTGATGGGCAGTGGATGACACTGGCCAAGTCCCTGTCTTGGGTCCCTGATGTGCTAACAGGAGAGATAAACATGCATAAATGAGATGATAATAGGTGATATGGATTTGGCTAGTGGCTAGTGCTTGTGGAGGGGAGGGAGAAAAAAAGCAAGGAATAGGGGATTTGTTTTTGATAGGGAGTTTGGGGAAACCTCTGATGCTGGGAATCAAGTAAGGGAGCAAGCCAGGCAACAATGTAGGAGTGCAGAGAGGTCGCGGGTAAAAAGGCCCTGAGGCAGGAGCAATCTTTGTGGCAGAGTGAGATGGTAGAAGAAGACCCGAGAAGAGCAGAGCCTGGTCATGAAGGCCTTAGTAGCCAAATGAAGGAGTGGAGATTTTACTGAGAATGTAGATTTTGAGCAAGGGTATGGCATGATCTGAATTCTGGTTTTCAAAGCTGGCATTTGCTGCAGGGTGAACAGTAACTACTGGAAAGCAAAAATAGAAGCAAAGAAAGAGATTCTGCAAGTTAGGGTAAGGTGATTGTGGCTTAAGCTTGGGTGTGAGTGAGAAGTAGTGAGATTCTGAGTGTAATTTGAAGGAAAACAAGAAGACCCATTAATAGACTAGATGTTAGGTTTGGGGCCTGACCCCAAATGATGGTACCATTTATTGCAGCTGTGAATACGGAGGAAAGTGAGGCTTTGGGGGGGTGGCTCATAGATTGTTTTGAATGGTTAGATTGGTTAGATTTGAGATGACCTTTTTCATATGTAGATAACTAGAGCTGTAGAAAAGGCGTTCTGTGTTGACGAGTTCATTAATTCTAAGACTGGTATAAATTTGAAATTTTGCTTTTTAACTGCATGTTTGCCTCCTAATTATAGAGGCTACTTGCCCAAAGAGTTTCTTTTCTAATGAAGAATTTTTCCATTCTGTTCTGCTTGATCTCTTCCTAAAAGTCTCTGGAACAAATTCATACCCATTTCTACTCTTTCTTTGTGAGTCAGGCTCCTGTGCATTATTAGGGTTACCATGAGCGCTGCCAAGGCTGAGTGGTGGGAGGTGAGGCTTTATGCATGTTCTGCATTGGGAATGGCAGTTTGGGCTAAATAATTATTCTTGTTACTTTTAACCTGGTAGGGCCTGTTACAGTTTTAAACACCCTTTGGTTTTAGTTTTTTGTAATTTGGGATGCTGGGCCAGGGACTCTGCCAATTACCACTCATGATGAGAAGATATGTTTTCCAGATGATGATCTATTCCTTCTTGATACATAGATGAACCAGCCTCATAGTTGTCCCACTATATTAGTAAGGTCACCTATACAAAGAAGAACTCACACCTAAATCCAGATCATAAAAGATTGCCACTTTCAAAATTTTTCCCATACTACAATTCTGAAAAACACAGTTCTTACAGAATATTAATAACAACATGCTATGAAGAAAAGGTTCTCTGGTGGAAATTTAAAATCTTTTTACTGCAGTACTTCTCAGAGCCTCTGAAGTCTTGTTGCTTACAGTAACTTGGCTGAGGGGCTTTGCAGTTAAAGTGTTTACTGTTTCCTGAATGCAGGCCACCATAGAACCCTCCAGCAGCTTTCGCTGCTGTTGTTGAAAACACATGGTGCAGGAAACACTGTTGGGATTAGTTTGCTTCTGGGCACCAGGGACCCAGTCCTGTCACAGAGAGGCAGGTGACAACCTGAATACCATAGGGTTTCAGTAAACAGATTTTTCTGAATGAAGACTTACAGTGTGGCCACATGAAGAAGACAAACATTTGTTAGCATTATAACACCTCTTCTTTTCTCATTCCTAATGATTGGCCTGGTAAAAATAAAACCCCTGATGGAACTTTGCACAGCCTCTATGGGTCTTTTCCCCAGGCAGCACAAGAAGCCAGGGGAGTAGGTTTCCAGGACAGCCTCTTGTTCCTAAGCCCTGGAGCTCCTAGGCAGAGATTATAAATCCCCTTGGAGAATGTTTTAAATTTAAACAAAATTTTTCAGAGTCGTGGGCAGGAATGTCTCAGCCCTCCACGTCCTTACCAGCTGTATAGAAACAGTGCTATAAACAGCACACAGTTCAGTGACTACACCCTTCCTTGGCACATCCTTTTCAGAAGCAGAAGTAGTCATTGTAGCAAACCCAGTCTCTATAATCATTGTGGGTAAACTGGATGTGGGTTTGGGGAAACAGAGTCTAAGTTTTGTTCCTTAGTGCAGTTTTAACTTGCCCAGGAAGAAGTGAGAGTTGAATTCATTGGTAAACTCAACTGCCCCATAATTCCTAGTCCTTAAACTCCCAAACTGTTCTGTTAAGCATTTTAAATATATGTGCACGTATATATACATACTCATACATACACGTAGGTACAGATATATGTGTATCATTTAAGTTATACAATTGCTTTTAAATCCAAACTAATCTATGTTCGTTTTACTTTGAAATTTGGATGATCTTCAGTTTTCTCTTCCATGAAATAGAGATAATGAATAGTGCTTCCAGGGGTGGTTTTAATGCTGAGTGAATGACCAAAAACAGTGCGGAACATGGTACTCAGTACATTGTAGGCATGATTATTTCTAGTGTGACTCTTGATCATGGAGACAGTGTATGCTAAAGTTAATAGAAAAAGAAGTTCTTACACAGTGAATACATTACATGTTGTCTTTCAGAATTTAAATGTAATTTGAATTTTATAGTGTGTGAATTTGTGTTAAACTTGAAAGGTGTTTTTTCTTTGAGCCATGCAGATGAAGTACATATGTCTGAAACATCTCAGATAGGCAAATGAGGAGCTATAGTTGTTTTGTTTTTGTTTTTTTTTGATGCTGTCAGTTTGAAAAGAAGCAACCCATGTGAAAGGTCCAAATCATCATGTTTTAAAACAATAATGAATTGGAAGCTTATGTGTCCATTTCACCCCAGTAGATAATGTTCACAAAGCATAACCTCTTCAGACCTTGAAACTGGGCCTGACGTGTACAAGCAGAGCTGTTTATATCTTTCTCAGAGGTTACTGTGAATGTCAGTAAGTGGTAGCCATGTACTTGTTAGGTGACTCACTTAGCAGTGGGCCAGTAACTCAGTCAGGTGTTCTCAGAGAAACACTGGGAAGTATCCTGATGCCATACTGATTACGATGCTGGGGTGAAAACGTCACTGGTTTTGAGATGGGAAGACCTGGTTTATTGGTGCCATGCTGCCCTTGTGCCTCCCCAGAGATCCGTCCTTGAGAACAAGAACATCATTTTATAGAGCTGCCCGTCTCTTGCAGCTCCCAGCATGGGGCATGTGTGAAGGCCCCTGCTAGTCTATGAGATGAAAGATTTGGAAAGTGAGATAAGAGATGGTTTTAGGTATACATGAATGGATTTCTAATTTTAATTATATAAATGTTTTAATGGGTATTAAAAATGTAAATGACAGCTGATGGAGTGGCTCAAGTGGTAAAGTACTTGCCTAGCAAATGAGAGACCCTGAGTTCAAATCCTAGTACTGCCAAAAGATGTAAATGACAAATCAAACTCATGATTTTATTGTTATCCTATAGATCACTGCTTTTTGAAATAACATAAGCTAGAACTATATATTAATATAATGTATAGTTAAGACAAAAATGTGTAGAAAATATGTGACTATCCTTTCCTGAAATTCTGTACTTTTATTTTCTCAATTTGTTGATAACTTTATAGGACCCCTCCCCAAGTTTGTATTTTTACCTTGCAAAAATGAAGATACAACATGTTGATCTTGTCCACTTAGAACGTTGAAATAATTATTCTTAGCTCTTCTTACTTTCTTGGAATAGAATGAGTTAATGAGCTTCATTCAGCTTACTTAGGGCTAAGTGATGATGTCTGGAAATGAAATGCAGCACTGCAGTTCTGGGTAGGATGTGCTAATGGAAAAGGATAATACTTGTCAAGATGAATATCCATTGACAAAACAAAGCTAGTATTTCTGTATTCATTTTCTGTTCTCTGTGTACTTTAATTTGTTTGGTTCTTTTCTCCTAGGTTCCTGGTACAGTTCAGACAGGATAAAGTATGTGTGAAGTTTATTCAGGGCAACCAGAAAAATGGGAGTGTCCCAACGTGCAAACGAAAAAACAACCGTCTCCTTGAAGTAGCTGTCCCTTAACTGGCACCTCGTCTGCTTTCATGGACTTGTTTCTTTGTAATAGTGCAATTTGGTTTCGTTTTGTTTGGGTTTCGTTGTATTTTCGGGAATTGTCAAAGGCTAACGGAGAGTCCCTTGGCAAAATAAATAAAAGTATTTGACTAATCAGTTTTTATTATGGGAATAGTTTAACCCTTAAATCTACATTCTGTCCTGGGATAGAATTATAGAAACTAACAGTGTCTGTTTCTAAGTCATATGTTTTTTTCTTTAGTTACCATGTGTACCCTCAATCAACATATTACTCATAGATCATTAATACATACTAAGTGTAGGAAAGGGTCTTAAAAGATAGTGCATTCATTTATCAAATATTTATTGAATGCCTGTGCTATGCTGGGCACTATGCTAAGTGATTTTTACTAGGAGCCTTTTTATTTTAAGGCTGTTGCATTCTGGCTGGTTGTGCTGCTTTAACTGCAGCGAGGAAGGTTTGAAGAGGTTGAGGCCAAACAATGACTGCTGACAATGGACAACATTGGTAGGAACCCCGTAGCATGGTCATAAATAATACATGTTTCAGAAAGGGCTGGTCCTGCGAGGAATAGAAACACATAATTGTGTAAAATCCATTTGCCTTTTTTTTTTTTTTTGAAATATAATTGACATTGAACAGGACTTCTGATTTGTTCAGGTCTCCTGTAACTACTTTTAACAGTAGTAAACAGAAGTCGTTCTTATTTTAGAAAAGTGACTGAGCAGTCCAATAAGATTATATACTCCTTTGTCTGGTAAGCATCATATAGGATCCTAGATGTGCTAAAATCTGCAGTATTGATTTCACCCAATTTTGAGCAGCTCTTTTAAACAGCTAACACTGTAAAGAAAGGCTGAACGTCTTGCAGAGAGTGGCAGACATTCTGTATGATGTGCAATAAAACACCCAATTCTTTTTGAAAGTTTTATTTATAATACATTTTTGTATGAGAGCGGTGATTGGTACCAGGTGCATATTTTAGTCAAGGATCAAAATTAAGTTTGTTTTAATTTACTGGGCTTTTTTTTTTTATTCTTTCAAATTTACAATAAGGATTCATTTTAGAAACTGCATTTTAAACTTTGGAATCAAATTGTTTCTTATTTGGGAAATAATGTATATACATTATGTTAAATAATAAAATTGTTCTAATTTGGTGCCATTTGCTGAATCACAACTGTATTTTTATATTTCAAACTATTTTCATGTGTCATGTGTCAATGTATCATCTCACAGAAAAGCTCTACAGTCCAAACATTATATAATCTCCTTGTTAATTGATTTTCACTAATCTTTTATAAATCAGAAACAGTTGTTGAAAATATTTTCTGGGAACTTTTGTTGATTTTTGTATCTAAAAAGTTGTTCACATAAAGAAATTCTCAGAGGTTTTGTTTTCATTGGTGCAGGTAGAGTATATAATTCTTTTCATCCTTCTCCACCATGAGCCCAGAGTGGTAGATAGGCCCTGATATAGGCGAATGGTAGTTTGGGACTGAGAGGCACTTTTTGTTTCAATGTTCAAAAAAAATTTAATACATTTACATTGTTACACACACTGGTAAGTCTGAAAGAACATAATACAAATTCTCCATTCCCTCAGCCACCCATCTGCTCAGTTCCTACCCCTCCCTCAAAAAAGTTAACTGTTGTTTTCTGCTGTGATCACAATTGCTTTAAGCATATGTTTGAAGAGGAAATGAGAATATAGATTCTTATCTTCCCAGCTTTAGTAGACAAAAGCTTGTCTGTTAGTAAACATTGTTCTTTACCTTGCCTTTTTTTCCTAGGAAAATATCAGGAGCTCCTCATTCTTTTCACAGTGGTTTAGTCCTCCCTTGTGTGGATTTGCTGTCATGTCTTCACTGGTCCTGCTTATCACCATTGAGTTGCTTCCTGAATTGAATTTCAGGATGGATGTCTTAAATGGAAGTCAGGATGCAAAGGACCAAGATTCTATGAGTCAGCTTACTAAATTTTCCCAAATACCATATTTAGAGATTGTTCCAATTAGCAACCACACAGTTTGAAAAGTTTTTTTTTCTCCAGTAGAGAAACTATTTAATCTTAAACTACATTGTATTATATAAAGATTTAATACATATATATTCTCAAAACAACTTTTGAGAGTATTTTTTAATATAACTTCCATCACTTTAATCACTGAAGTATACTGTAATTTTTGATGATGAAACTCATTCTGCGTGGGCTGTGTCTTTACTTGTTTCCCATCAGCCAGAAAGCTTCCTTATGTACTAAGGAGGAATGTGCCTCCTTAGAGTTCTTAGTACTTGGAGTTCATACTGTGATGTGCCCTTCTTTTCCATGGACCAGGCAAGCAATTAAAGAAAATATGATTGCTTACAACAATTATTTAGAGACTTTTCAACCTAGAATATTAAGCCTTCATGCTCAATCCTGGGATTAGAATTGATCGCCCCTCAGAAGAACCTCCTCTTACCTTTTTGGAAGGCCTCGCATTCCCAATGGGAAGACCAATACCAATGACCACACTAAAGTTGGAGAGCCACTGTGGTCCAAGTGACCCCTCCAGTATAGAAGTGTAACAGTAGATTTGCTTTGTAGCCATGCACAATCTACACCTTAAAAGTTTCACTTGGTGAAACTTCATGATAAAGTATTAGAAACAGTGGTAGAAAGCTGCTCTGAAGCTGCACATGGCTTTGTTGGCCATACCTACCAGTGCTGCCCACCAACCCCAATTGTCTGATCTTTATCTTTGTGTTTCTGTCACTGTCCTGCAATGGAGAGTTAAAGTACTGTTGGCACTCCTGACCACACAGCCCCAACTTGTTCCCAAGCATCACTTAGAAGGTTGCCCAGCCCTAGAGTGATCTTGAGGCATAACTGGATCTAGTCCAGGACTCACTAGGATGTGCTCAGGACATGGACTGGCTAACAGATGATGTGCTGGAAGTATTGGGTACCTAAGACCAGCAGTCACCAAGGTGTGCAGTGTGACTGATGTGGTTGGTTATTCTTGACTGATTTCCATCAACCACAGTATAAGAAAGGAACATGAAATATTCTTTCATAGACTGATTGTAGCTTTGTATTTTACACTCATGGTAATAACTTGGACCCAGAACTCGGAGGTAAGACCTTCAGTTCAAGTTTGAATACCAGGGTTAATGGGTGTGTCTGTGGTGGCAGAAACCTTGGCCAAGAGTTCTTAGTATCATTGGCCAAATCCTGAGTATGGAAGGTTCAACTGAGATCTTAAGAAAATGAATTGGAGAACATTATTCTGAGTGACGTTAGCCTGGCCCAAAAGACCAAAAATCATCTGTTCTCCCTCATATGCAGACATTAGATGAAGGGTAAACACAACAAGGGGATTGGACTTTGATCACATGATGAAGCGAGAACACACAAGGAAGGTATGAGGATAGATAAGACACCTAAAAAACTAGATAGCATTTGTTACCCTCAATGCAGAGAAACTAAAGCAGATACTTTAAAGCAACTGAGGTCAATAGGAGAAGGGGACCTGGAACTAGAGAAAAGGTTAGATCAAGAAGAACTAACCTAGAAGGTAACACACATGCACAGGAAATCAATGTGAGTCAACTCCCTGTATAGCTATCCTTATCTCAACTAGCAAAAACCCTTGTTCCTTCCTATTATTGCTTATACTCTCTCTTCAACAAAATTAGAGATAAGGTTTGCAAAATAGTTCCTGCTGGGTAACGAGGGTGTGGAGGGAAGAGAGAGGGGGTGGGGGAAGAGGGGAGAAGTGACCAAAACATTGTATGCACGTATGAATAAAAAAATAAAAAAAATATTTTCATAGCATTGAGGACTCAAGTTCATGTCATTGACCATTGTTATGCTAATTAGGGTACAACTGAAAATTATTTTAAACCAAATAGGAAAGACAAGGTATTTTTTGCCTTTTCTTACAGTTCTCATATAATAGGTAAGATATTTCATAGGTTTGGTGAAATCTTCAAATAGCACGTACTCTCTACAATGGTGTGTGCTACTGGGAAAGGATTTAGGATCCTCAATGTGTCTGTTCTATTTTTTCATTAACTTCTGACCAGAAAGTATCCTAATAAGAGCCTTTGTTTTTGAGTTGGGCATTATTTTTTCATGAATATTCTGGCACAAAATTCTTAAAGCAATTAGATGCAGGGAGGTGGAAGGGAAGAGAATGAAGGACAATAGTTTTGCTCTTCTGTCTGCCTGGTGCAAAAAACAGCTGTGAGGTTTCATCAGCATTTAAAGATTTTCTGGGTTATCATCAGAAGAGTTCTTTCTTTGCATCTCATTTTAATAATTCTATCACATTCTTTTGTTCTCATGTTTTGATTAGCTAAATCCACTTGCCTTCTGCTCTCATCAGCTTCTATTTCAATATCCACACAGGAGAAAATTAATTGGTTTGAGTTAGTTTCCTCTAAATCTTGGAATGTTTGCCTCATTCTCTTTGGTTTGAAGATCATTTTCAAAATCTGGACTTAATCACGGTACAGCATAAGCCACAATCTCTCTTCCTCATTAACTTTTTTCCCTTGGACAGATTCCCTCAGCCCAGTTCCATAAAATCCAACAAAAGTCTAACTTCATAACCAAAAAGAAGAGTCTCAGCTCTTCAGTGTTTTGAAGAGAGAATAGGAATGAATTTACTTCCGTGTTTACCAGATGGCCTGCAGTGCTGAGGGAAAGAGATCAGCTAGCCGTCCCATCACTTTAGTTATTTCGTACTCACCCCAACTTTAGTTTTGCATGTGTGTGTGTGAGTTCCTTAGCAATTAGTGGGTCTAGCATATATCTTTAAAATATGCTTTGTAATGACATACACATCATAAATGTGCACATGGAAGTGAAAATACCCATGTTAACTGGTATCCAAAAGAAGCACACCAGGTACGGCACCCAGAAGCCCCTAATGTGTGTCAATCACAATCCTCCACCAAAATACCTCTTGTTTTCTAATACCATATGTCATTTTTGCCTATTTTTAAATTTTCAATGGAATCGTGCAATTTTGTAGTCTTCTACGTAGCTTCTTTCATTCAATACTGTAATTGTGAGACTCGTTGCATGTTTTTTCATTCTCTACAGTAATTAATCACAATTTTATAATTCATGTTACTGTGATTGCTCTAAATAGACTACAATTTTATAATTTACTGTTGGTGGCCTGTTGACTATTGTACATAGGACTGTGGCAAACATTCTTATATATATGTCTTTTGGTAACATACATACACATTTCTGCCAAATATGTACCTAAAAGTAAGACTGCTGGAACATAGATTAAACATCTGCTCAGCTTTAGTAGATCCTATAAAACTGACTTCTAAAGGAGCTGTGCCAGTTTACACTCCCACCAGCATTGTATAAGGGTTGTGCTTGCTGTATATTCTTGCTGCACCTGATATTCTCAGTCTTTTTCATGTTGGTTCTGGTGATCTTAGCTTTAATTTGCATTTTTCTGATGATTGGATATCATCTTTTGTGAAGTTCTTATTCAAGTACTTTGTGAACTTTTCTGTTGTTTTTCTGTTTAATTTGTAGTTCGGTAAGTGTTTCACAGATAAGATCTTTATGTGTATGACATGTATCTTCTCACAGACTTTCTACCAGTGCCTTTTGATGAACAGATACTCCATTTTAGTGTAGTCCAGATTACCAGTTATTTCTCTTATGGTTAGTACTTTGTTTCCTGTTTAAGGAATAATTCTTTACCTGAGGTTATGAAAATATTTGTCTATATTTTCTTATAGAAGATTACACCTTCATTCCAACTGGATTTGATTCTTTTTTTTAAATAAAGGGTCAAGATTCATGTTTTATTTTCCCCCATATGGGGATATCCAGTGGCTTCAGCACCTTTTATTGAAAGACCACCCTTACCCCACTGCAATGATCCTGGATTCTCCCTTCTATTAGTTTGATTCATGTCAATAATGAAGTATGTTCATTATTGTTGCTTTATACTTGACATAGTCCTTTAAAAGTAAAATCTTAATTCTTAGCCATTCTAAACTCTTGTGATAGGAGAAAGGAAGGCATTAAAACTAGTAAGTATACTAATTAAATGAAACTAAGTAAATATAATTTGTTATGTGAAGTAGGGGTAGGCCATCAGAGTTCTGAAACTGAACATAAAATAAGCTCTCTCCTTTAGCCATGGAGCATGGGAGTTCCTAATGGAGCTATATTGGATGATTCACAAAGTAAGTGAACAACTCCTAACTCCTAATTATAATGCTTTGGTTTTCCACTGACTCAATGATTTCTATCCATATTACTAATCATACTCATTTAAAATTTTCCACAAAGTCTTGCTAAATTACCATCCTATGTAAGTGCCTGTGAATATTTTGTTTCTAGAATGTCTTTTCCCTCTTATAGATT